ATGGGGAACTTTCGGCCGTTCCCAGAGGGGACTCTCGAACGATGGACGATGGACTGATTCGGGCCATTAGTCTTGCCGTGGACGGTGACGAGATGAACAGTGTATCGTGGAGTTATTGCGATCCCTCCAGCCTCGGCACGCGCAGCTGTGAGGACTGTGTCTGGAATCTTTCTTTTGGAGGTCGTGACCATTCCCAGATACTGCAAATAAGTATCTGTGACTCGTGACGAGAAGATAACCGGATGCGGACAGGCCAGACAAATGTCCGTATGCAAAGTCTTCTGACGAGTGGGCCGACCGCCCATTTTTCAACCTCATGGTCGACGAGACACACGCCCATCGAGATATCGAAGTCTCAAAAAAGAGTCCCCAGAGCAACTACGCTCGCCATGCGAAAAATGACAGTGGATACGTCTTCATACCTGGATTCTGGATGGACCCCATGATCTCGTTGAGTGAGGCAACAATTTATGCCGATCACTCTCCGGCACCGAGGAAGAGGGGAACGGAGATTATTGAGTTCGGCTTCGAATTGGAATGTCATGCTCGTTCCGGAATGCTATCGAGTTGTGGTCCCTTCGATCCTGAAGCCAGGACAACCCAATGAGCCGGACCCGAGCAGAGAGATGGGCTCTCGGGGTCTTAGGAATCCGAATGGGACGACCAGAGCGTTTGATAAAGAGAAGCCTCGCTAGATGTGTCGTATTGAAGAAAATGCTTCCTCCCTGAAGCTTTCCTTTTTCACGGTCAGTTGAGCGGGCCACTCCCAGATTAATTTCTTCTCATCTGAATAACATGACACTGGGTGTTTCTATCCGCACATTTAGTTGTCGATTTCGCGGATTTATCTGAAACGACCTCGCTACTTAAGTAATCTATCTTTCGCGGGTCGGAGAAGAGAACCAGGAGAATTTTGATTGATCCTTTTCGGATCCAGTAATATTTCCACGCAGTGCTCGGAAAAAGTTTTCTCATTCAAGGAACGAACAATTGATCGGAGAATCTTAACTCTCGGAAGTTTCTAGCTGCTTCACAGTTTTCGGTCTCTCCTGAAAGAAACTTTCCAAGATCCGCGACTGATCACCCAAACTTTAGTTGACTGGAATAAGGATCTGCATCTACAAAGTTTTATCCTATTCGGTGATGTAGCGAATTGTTCGCATTGACTCCATGCCGATGTTCGGTGTTCGCAGTCCGCGACGATTGATCTCAATCAGACCGACGAACGAGCTGACAATCGCTTTCTACCGACGAATGAGTCAGCGTCACCAGTAATCGGGGTGCAGGGATAAGTGAGTAACTGAGTCAAGAGAGCCATCGCTCACCCAGAAGCGCACCGCCTCCTACGAAGCACAGAAACTCTGATTCGGAACCAATTCTGTGTCTCTTGACAAAACCTTACATGCATGTACCATGGTACATGAATCATGCATGTACATAGATCATCAGCAGCCGCCCTCGAAATTGCGGTGAGATTCAATTGGATCTTCGAAATTCAGGCATCCTGATCGAGCTGCTCCACGTAGCCGAATTTCCCCCGCCAGCGATATCGAGTCGCGGCTCAGATTCGCGCCGTTCGGTGCGGATATTGATGTTTCTCTCGGGTACGCCAATCGAGTGTCAGAATTCCCCTGCAGTCGACGGAGAGTCATTCGTCGATCCTCTAGGACTCTAGGACCGAATCGGATAGAGTGAGGCTCAAGCAGCCTACGCTCGGGAGCAAGGTCGTCCTTCCAAGCCGCTTATTCCTCTGCCGGCTTCAAGTCTCGGATGTCCTGTCGACTTCCGTGACCATAGACAACGAGCGCGTTCTTACGATTCGAGCTTGCTTCTTGGCGCCCCCTTCTGAGGGAAGCTCCACGATAGCTCGGTGAGTCTTCCCTCTGCTGGGAGCGTTGCGACGTCGATTCGCGAGAATACTCACGCTTCGAAGCCCTCTTTGAGGAAATCGTGATAGAAGTCTCGGCAGCCCATTCATCCGACAGAATCGCCGAGGATGCGGGCAATCGATCGACAGCGGGAAAAAACGATACTGACGTTCCTAACGGCATCAACATTTGGTGGTGATGGCGTACCGCCTCTTCGAGCGTTTGGGCAGAATGCGGCGATCGCGATTTCAGACCATCACCTTGCAACGACTTCTGGTGATTTAAGAATGAGGAATTATATTCGACGGATCTCCCCACCTTTGCGTATATGTACTGGCGGGCGTGCGGACAAACGAAACGACTGGGCGATCGATCGACAAGCAACGAGCGTGACGTCGACGTAACTGAGATGAAACACCCACAAAGATACACGCCACTCCTCCGCAAATAAGAGAACAATCGACGGTGGCCAAGGCACAACCCGAAATAAATTCATTCGGATATCCCGGGCTTTCAGATCGATCCCCTAGTCCCGACGAAGCAGCAAGAATTATCTCGGGAAACAGCATCTCGTCTCGAGTGATAAATTCCTTCTCACGAACAGAGCGGGAGGACCGCCGAAAAGCAGCAAAGAGCTCAAGTTAATTTTCTGTGGACAGACATGTTCATTGTTAAGGTATGATTAGATGGCTTGTCAACTTGACAACCTGGCATCGATGCTTCTGCCAAACAAGCAACAGCGACACGTCAACAGGCTTCCTTCTGTTTCTGTAATCACCAGTTTCCGAACAGCAAGAATAAGCCAGCGGCTCCGGATAATAGAGAAAATCGGAGTTTGGTGTTCTGAAGGACAAGACTTCTCTCTAGCGTTCGCCGAGCTTCCACAAACCGAGTTGCAAGAACGTCGTGGATATTCATCACAAAATCGCGTCAGATCAGAATCAGTCGGGGATCGGAATGAATCGTCGCTCCAAAGCTCTCTGGCTTCCTCGAGGCAATGGGCCCGGAACCGCCAACGGCAGGTGGACTGATAGTGCATTCAAGAGCGTAATTGTACGGGCACACGTTTTTCCAACTGATCATCTTCAATTTTATATTGGTGCTGGTGGCCCAGAGCTGGAATGGGACTCGATCGTTGCCTTGCCGCGACGGTAATGAAGTCAGGGAGAAAATTCAGAAAGCTGTGCAAATGAAAATTCGATAGCGCCCTCGGATTCACCGCGAAAATTCGAATGGGCACCGTTCGAAGACGCGAACTTCGATTCGCGCGAATTTATGGTGCTATTCTGGAAAGTGTTCATCAAGCGCTGACAGGTGACACGCCCTCCAGAGAAATATATACCACGTTATTAATCAATGCAGGATCGCTCATGCGCGACTCGATGAACGTCAAAACATCGCAGCGCCGACCAAGATAATTTCTCGCGGTCTACCAGAGCGTTCATTAGGCCGCTGGATCACTCAATTCCATCAACGAAAGCTTCAGATTGAGATTAATTGAGCTGCGATCCATCTTCATGTAGTGTCGATTCCGCGCCATAATCGCGGACGACGGTCCTGTGAAGTTGCTCTGACATAGTATCGCTCATCGTGTCTCACTTTGATTCCGAATCGTTCGACGCCGGCGATGAACATAATATCGACGCCTGACGATATTAAGATGGCTGGTACTTGGGATGTTGTGATGCGCGGATGAGGGAGATAATTCGGATACCTGAATTGATTGAATGAATCGAAGCATCTGCTGAAGACAACTAATGAGCCTGGGGGAGGATTTCCCTCGATGGTTCCAATTGCTGAATCTTGTGGCTCCTACGTATCGTCTCCCTCTTCCGTACTATCACTGACATGCACCGATTTTCGCAAAGTCTCCGAGGACCCGTCTCCTGAGACGATCAATAACGATGTCGGAACGAATATCCGAGACCCAGGTTGTATCGGTTGAGGATACCACTTCTCGTGCAAGACGACAGCTTCCGATCCAAGGGGAGACGGGGTCCATAAAGATATGTCGCCGCCGGGCTCATACCGTCAGAACTTAAGTCGAGCGCATAGTAACAGTTCGCCCATTAGGAGTCGGAAGCTCATATTGGTGATTATTCAGACTTCTTACGCTCCCTCGAGAAAGTCCGATCATCCGAGCGAATGTTCATGTCACTGAGGCTGTTACACTCTCTCGTGCGGAGAGTTTTGGTGATATCAGATAATCGGTGGAAGCCGGGTGGTAGCCGTGTTCTGGGTTTGGAGTCGTACATGTGTGCTCCGGGCTTGATGAGTCCAGTTTCCAGGAGAATCCCGTCAGGATCACCCGCTGAAGCACTCGGTATTCGTCATCAGATCATCGTCCCGCGAGTCACCCCCGTCGGATTTATCTTTCGCATCAAGGGCCGTAGCATTCGCCTCTGGTTGAGGGCCGAGTGTCTCAGACGCGGCCCTCTATCCCCCTCTGGTGAGCCTGCTGCGGGAGCGTCTTGGTGAAACACTATTCGAATGGGCTCTTCTGATTGCGATGGCGAACTTACAAGCTCGAACATGGGCATCAAAAGGCGCGCGAGACCGTGTAAGCGGGAACCTCGGCCGAATTCAGCGTCCGAGGGCTAAAAGCCATATTCGATACGAGCTCAGCAGTGCGCGAGCTCCACGGTGACCTGGAGGAGAATGCCGGAGAAGGATCCTTATCACATGAGGACGATCTGGAAGAGATTTGCATCCCCTCAAATGATGGTCACGGCTGACAATATGCGTCGGAGATTGAACTGGGACCTACGACTGAAGTGAAGTCTCAGCCGGATCCTCAGGATTCACACCCGCGCCTGGATCGCTCGTGAGGAAGACATCTGTCTGTCCGCCAACAGATCGGGAGTAATGCTTTAATGCACCGGTATAATCGTAGCTAGGGCATGATACGGAAGAATTGCGCGATCCGCTATGACAACCTGATCACCTCGATGAAGATCACCCCTGATCACCGAGTCTCTCTACGGATTGAGAAGAAAAAAATTGCTCAGTAGAAGAGGGAAAATAGCCGCCCCCCCGAGAGAGCGCGCAGCTAAGATCATCTGCATCATCCTCTTCACCCTCTCACTGTAGGGTTTCTCAACGTTCAATTTCGCCCGCCTTCTTCCAATTCTGCCCGGCTCCTCCACAGACTTGACGAACGAATAATCGCCCGGCTCCTCGAGGGATCCGTGTGGGAGATCAGGAGCCCTATATCATTCCGTGCCGGAGGTCGACTCGACGGGGAAGTCCGGGCTGGAGACGAGTAGATGATGGAGTGCGCGGATGTCGGGGGTCAATCGACAGTTTCATTCCCGGAGTTCAAGCGAGGTGAGCTTTGTCGACCGATCTGTCGCTGCAAGTCGCAATCGATCCTGTCTAATGGGAATGCCCCGTGCTGGACGGACTAATTTCAACAACTGGGGAGCTCGCATATATAGTGAGAATATATGTAGGTATTTGGAAAATCCTCGGTGCTCAGCACTGAATACATGTCTTTTCCCGGATATCGACGAAGGTTCTCACTGGGACGCGATGGTGGTGAGAGTCGGAGGGTTCTCAAATATATCAGTCATTCCGGAACCTTTGTGGTCGAAGCTGGACGCCATGGAGAGAGCCTTGAGTGAAAGAAAATTGAGAAAAGTCTGTGAGCCTGTCTGTAATCTGAGCTACGTGTCGGTAATAGGAGGTCGGCCGATGAGAGTTACGTACTTCGCCAAAAAGGTAATGGCTCAATGCTTCTCTGTGTATTTTTATACTTGGCTGGTTCGCGTCTTGGGAGAGGTTTCCCAGAGTTCGAATCAGCGCGGACGCTACCATGACGGATCTAATCCTTTTGAGCGGCGTGGAGGAGAAATTTAAGGCGATGAATTCAAACATCACAGGGAACACGATTCGACGTCTTCCTGATAGACACTACGGAGATCCATACCGTGCAAGAACTCTTCGAATTACCGGATGACTTCGATTTGGATATTATCCCATCATTCGCTCGGAGGTTCGTGTCTCCGAATGATGAGCTAATTTATTTTCCCCTAGGATCACCACGAAAGGCGAGCGCGGAGTTGACGTCTATATGTATGTATCCCATATCTCATCCCGCACCACTGACTCTTTCCAGGGTATCGCTGTGTTCGGAGCACATATTCTCGAAAATGGAATTCCCCCATTTCAAAACACTCCTAGAGACCAAGCACGCTCTCGTTCATGTGAGTTTAGCTCAGGTGTGGGTATTCCATTCAATGTTCCTGTGTACTCGGTATGAAGATTAATCGAAACATCTCCCTGATAGATCTTCGTCACCAAGTGTGGGGATAGTGAGCCGAGTCAGAACACGCCCGAAGTCCTCTTCGTTAATGAACTTTGTGAGGATCTCATGGACAAGTATGGCCTCAGCGGCGCACCGCGTCCCGGGCATTTGTTCGGGACCCCATAGCCAACTGTCAGGGCAGACAGAGACAGCACCGCTCCGCCGGGTTCTGCCCGACTAGTTTCAGCGGGAAGTTCTCTTCACGCACATCGACGCTATTACGTTCTGAACGGTTTCACTACGAATCCTACGCCTCGCCTATATATTGTGCTATAGTGCTCGTAGCGGGGGAATAAACCCTTTGATAGATCGACCCGTCATGCTCCGATTTTACGTATGCCGCCTGGGCTTACACCGAGAAAGGAACAGCTCGGCGGACTGCAGGGTACCTCCGCCTCGAAGACCTTCAAAAATCCTAGGGATTCAATATTCCTTCTTCCTCTCGGACGTCTCGGAGCTCCGACCTTCTCGCGAGCAAATCGAGACGCGTCACATCTCTGGTCGCCGCTGACTAAGCTCGTTTAGATCATCGTGGTGATCCTTCACATCCTCCCACCTTGGCACGTAATCAGTCTTTTCTGTTGAAAGATCGGATCGAGGTTCGAGGACAGGGTACAATTCCTCATGGCTCTGGGAGAGATGCTCCTCACCCTCTGACCGTGACTAACAGCCGAATGCCCGATCCGAGGGAGATAGGTGGTCTACGAAGTATGATTCGGGACCTACGATTCAACGACAGCGAAAGTTTCGGCGCGCTGTAATGAGAGCTCTTGGTTGTGTCAGAAGTCGGGGCTACAATTGGAAACACAAGTTATCGAAAGGAAAGCTGTCAGGTCCACCTGTCTAAGCAGCCTCTGAGGGTTTCCTTTGAGGGGCGAATGTTCGAGTCTTGCACGCAAGGAGAACGAGCCTGTCCCGTTGAGAACTCCAGCGAGAGGCGGACTCCTCGTCGACCGCTTGGGAGAGGTTATGAACTGCCTAGATCCATTCCGGCCGGCAGTTCCGCGCCGCTGCTCGGGGATTCGGATGTATCGAAGAGCGCCAGAAGAATAGGGTATATATGATATCAACGCGGGTCTTAAGAAGATAAGGGGTGGGGGGAATTTATTGCTTGTCGGAATTAGTTCCAGGATTCCGGTCCTTCTTGAGCGTTGCCTTCGACTTCTTCTGCTCCATTTTCTTCGAGCCTTTCAGTCCTATCTTGCTCGTTTTCAGGCGCTTCAGTTTCGCGCTGCGGTCGGTCTCGATAGTTTTTTCCTTCAGCTTCGTCTTCGCCTTCGGTTGTAATTTGTTTTTGAGATGCTTCGTTCTTAATTTCAGCATGTAATCTGGAACATCGCAGCCAGCCTTGCGTATTATCTGGAAACGAATCGATAATTCAATCATTTGACACAGCAGCGAAGGAACATCGTTCCCCACAGGAACTCCATTCCCAAACTTGAATTCTCTGGAGTGCCGACCTTTGATACTGAGCATGAATGAGACTCCGATCGATCGATCGAGCTCTCTTCGGTGCATCCACGACTTAGGTAGTCGATTTGTAGCCAGCTCGAACCCTGATGGGCTCGAGCTGTCGAGCAGAGGAACTCGAAAGTGACGCACCTGAACTATTTCACGCAATTTCGGCGCGTCGCTTTCCATGAAGAAAGTGATGGCCTCTCCGCTCCGGCCAGCTCTGCCAGTTCTACCGATACGGTGAATGTAGGAGGCGGCGCTTTGAGGAAAATCGTAGTTTATGACGAGCTGCACGCCTTTGAAGTCTATTCCGCGTCCCATGAGTTCAGTGCAGATGAGAATCCAAATCTTGCCGAGGCGAAACTGTTCCATTATCGAATCACGATCCGAAATCGTCCGGTCAGAATGGATGACGTCGACGTTCAGTCCATCCAGCACGAGATGACTGTACAATTCTTTGGCCGCCGCCTTCGACTCGACAAATACTAGAACAGGCGGCCGCACCCCGGCTCGGAGTATCTGTCTGGAAAATTCGAAGTTTCATACTGTGTTGCTCAGCTGAAAGTGTTCACGGGATCGAAGATGGAATGCGTCATGTAGGACGGGGCATGACAACGGCTCCCCTATTTTTCTCAATGGCCTGCCCTCCGATACTACGCTCTGCAACTCACCTAATCTGGAAGAGTTTGCCGTTTTCAGTGCCGACGAACAAGAGCTTCTGATCGACTTGTTTCGTCGCCGAGTTCTTCGCGCCCACCGCTACGATGACGACGGAGTCGAGATGCAATCGGCACCACTTATCCAGGTCTTTACTCGACGTCGCAGAGAACATTGCTCGCTTCAGTTTCGACGAGTCACAAGCCTCATAGATCTTCACCAGTTGATCGCGGAAGCCACTCTTTCCAGCCTCGAATAAGCGATCGCTCTCGTCAATGATCAGGTGTTGAACACGTCCCAGGGTCAGTTTTGTTTCCTTGAGCAGCCACACGAGTCGGTTGGGTGTTGTCACCATGATGTCCAGACTCTTAGCCATATCTGAAGAGAACCTGCCGAAACGCTAACAATTACTTCCCGGCCTACAATTTGACTAGAGAGCTCATTGACATCTGCTAGTAGATCATGGCTGATACTAGGACGTGGGAACGAATTCCAGAGGCGCTGACCGTTTCTGGGCGTTCGATGTCTTCGTCAACACATACGTCCGGAGTCCAGTGCCCTCAGCGAGCCTGACAACTTCTCGGTATGTTTGTTTGGCAAGTTCTCGGGTGGGACAAACCACAACGGCTCGAAAACCATCGGTCGACGGCTCCCCCAGGAGGTGCACCAACGGTATGACAAAAGCAGCTGTTTTCCCCGAACCTGTTGGTGCGCTGACCAGTACCTAGAATGAAGGCCGAAGCTCGTCTCGAATCGTCTTCCGGTGAATTTTATTCGGCAGCAGATTTCGACGGCGGGGGAGACATACCTCACGGCGCTCCAGCATCGCCGGTATCGTGATCATCTGCACCGGGGTCGGTGTCTCGTAACCGCAGGCAACGATGTTGCTCACAAGCTGTTTGCTACATTGGTACCTTGTTTCAAGCTGTTCGAAATCAGTGACCACTGCTGGGATGTCATCAGCCCAGACGCCGATGCCGTGGTGTGTCCGGATCCTGTAATCCATGCACTGCTGAGAACTTCAGCCTCTGTCAGATGGGATCTGTCTCGCCGGGGATCTGTCAAACCTACTGACCTGTTCTGAACTTTCTCTGGTTTCCCCTTCAACTTCGTAGAGGGTAAACTCGAGGGGGCCGCGGCGAGCTTTTCGATGCGATCTCGGGAAACTCTAGGCTGCTTTTGGAAGGTTACCCCCATGCAGAGCTGCTGCAGCACGTTTGAAGCCATGCCATATATCAGTGACCTCAGATTTCCTGGCACAGGAAGCTCTGTCAGGAATCGCGCACGCCCTGCTTCACAACATGTCAAGAATCACAGCAGGCAGCCTACGAGCTGTAGGGGTCATATGAGAGGGATCGAGAGCTCCTTTCGAGGGCGCTGAGTTATTTAAGAATTATGCCGAGATCGGAGCGATTTGAACCGCGTACCGCACGACGGCCCACGACAACACCGCACGTGAGTTTGTTTTGATTTTCGAAAACACGCGCCCTCGCCTCCGGGCGCACAACAGTCCGGAAGAATTTCACGGAATAATCGTGAATCACGACCATGAAATTTCCCAAGAACGCAATAACGCAGGAACGCTATGGGATTTGCTTGCGTTCCGCAGTAACGACAGGGAACGCAAAGGCTGGCAAGCTACTGGAGTATCAGCACGGCAGTCAGCTCCATTGGTAGGTATATCCGGGATCCAGGATCCATCCGCGCGAAGATTCTCTGAGCTGGCGGGGAAGGAACCTCTCTCCTACAATCGGTCGGCGTTGCTGCCTGCAGCACCACCTCTGCCGCCGCCGCGTCTGCTCACCCTCTCCCACAAACAGAAAACATAAACACACCGGTTCACCAGACGATAACGTTCGTGTTGTTGAAGCTCGAAAACTCAGAAAACGAGCCATCGCCAATCATGGCGGACAAGTCGGCGCGATCCTTACAGTATGAGTACAAGGCGAATTCAAATCTTGTTCTTCAAGCTGATACACGACTCATCGAACGCCGAGCTCGGGATGAGGCCACGGGTAAGCGGTTGTACTCCTTGGGATCATGGGACCTCCTTGTCAAATCTGGCGCCCGGTATAAGCGTGGCACCGGCACCGGGACCATTAACGAAAGTTGAAGACTCCTGCCTCGCTGCCCTTCAACATCGGTCCACCGATGTCCGAGCGGAGTCCTGGGTATTGTACGGGGCTCCGGGCTCCGTAGTGATTTCGCACGTCCGTCGTATGAGGAGCAGAAGACAAGTTTCCGCAGAGTCCCTCGAGAGACAATCTTTGTGCCTGAGCATTGTCAGATTTGCTTCATGTCCTCACGGTGTTTTTGTCTTGACTTGTCAAGAGTCATCCGATGCGGTCGTTTGACCGGAGGTCATGGGGTGCTATGATTTGCTACCCCTCTGCGTGATGGGACTAGGCATTGCAGCGGTTTCTAAGCGCGGTTGAAAATCGCGATTAACCGCTCGAAATCGCGGTTTTTAATCGTGATCAATCGCATGTATATTTCGATTAGTAATCGCAAATCGAGGCCTGCCAATCCAGACGTCAAAAGGCCTGAGGATCAGTCATAGCTCCTCCAAAATGTCTCGAAAATTATTCTCCAGCCTATTACGGAATACGAGAACGAATAAAAAATGATTTCCAGAAGATTTTTCTGACAATTGGCTCAGCTCCTAGAATAGCTCGAGGAATATCATCTTCGGTCTCGGATCTCGGCGCACGGCACGTAACATTGAGATTTCACGTCCGAAGGCACGTTGGATGTAGACCTGGCAGCGGCGGAGCGTGCATCGACGTTTTCGTTGCTCAAGCAATCGAGATCAAAACATCAACGATACTCTTTGCTCGTGCTGCAAGAGCCATCAAACGCTCCCGGCTTGATCATTGTCTTAGAGAGTACATCTTCTATGAAATTCGTTGGACTCCATGACTCCTTCCAAGTCTTGATTCATTAAACACACAAACGGGAGATTCCATTCTCTGAGTGAGCTCGTCATCTCCCTTTCCCCCCAAAAGCTTCAAATAAGCAACAATAGGAATAGATCCATGTTCACATGCTGATTTCGCCTCAGATTACTCGCTGGAGCGATCGCGGTTATTTGCGATTATAATCGCGGTTAGCGGTTTTTCGGCTCCGGTTAATCGAAACCGCGGTTTTTCTGAATTGCGCTTATTTGAAATGCCTAGATGGGACCGGTGAAGCCCATCGCTCTGTCTGGTCTCGATAAATTCACTGGAGGCAGTCCGCCAGTGTCTGAAGATGGAGCTTTGGCGGAAGCCATCGCCGCAAAACTGAGGCGAATTGATTCATGGATGGTTCCGCTTTGACTGATACTGTTTGCAGGCGAGGTGTTCTCCCTGGAGGGCAAACTCACAGGCACTCGCATGGGAGATCGTTACGAGCGGAGCAAGCCGACCAAGGAAATCAGTGAGAAGAAGCGGAAGTCGAAGAAGAAGGATTCTGCGAGTCTGAAAATGAAGGCAAAGCCATCCGTTTTGCAAGACTCCGATGAAATCGCCGGAATCGTATACCGACCGAAAACAGACGAGACGAAGCAAACTTATGAGGTGAGCTCTCAATCACCCTCTGAAAAAAATCGCATCTTCGAAATCCGAAAAGAGAAGAAATGTCTTATCTGTTATCAAAACCGTTCTCGATTCCAGGTCCTGTTGAGTTTCTTGCAAGACATGCTGGGCGACAACCCGCGTGATCTTCTCTGCGGCGCCGCAGACGAAGTACTGAAGACCTTGAAAACAGATCGTATCAAAGACTCTGAGAGACGGAAAGAGCTCGAATCTCTGTTAGGGGCCTTCGCAGATGAGAGGTAAGAGGGAGTCGCAGCTTCCCGCGAATATCTCTTCCCTCGGGGCTGTGCCCGTCAATCGACCTTAAAAAACTTCGGATTCTCTTCAGATACGCGGTGTTGGTAAACCTCTGCAAGAAAATAACTGATTACTCCGAAAACACGGACGATGTCGTAGAGCAGCAGGACATCGATGATACCTACGGCGTGAACGTCGAATTCGACAGGTACGTGCTGATAAGAAAACTTTGAAATGATACACGACGCCTTGTTGTCGGATGCCAAATGGAGCTCGATCAGAAAAAATGACTCAAATCTTACGGAATAGATCGGACGATGAAGAATCCGGCGAGGAAATGGTCGATATGGTCGTCGAGGGAGCGAGCGACGATGATGAAGCAGGTGAAGAGGGCTATGAGGCCAAAATGTCGACGCTTCAGGCGAACCTCGAAAACAGGGGACCCAAACAAGGAGAAAGCAAGGTACGAGAGTGCAACGGAGCTCACCGACCTTGACGGTTCCGAGTCGCTCTTATATTCCTCTAGTTGACAATTCTCTCCGCTGCAGAAGGGCGAAAGTCTCCACGCGCGACACATCGACGCCTACTGGCTCCAGAGGAGACTCTCGAGGACGTACGACGATCCCGTCGTTGCTCAAACAAAAGCTTCGGAGGTTCTCCAGATTCTCAAGACGTCGGCAGAGGACCGAGACATCGAAAACCATCTCGTTCGATTACTTGGCTGCGATCAATTCGACTTCATCAAGCAGCTCAGAGACAACAGAAACTTGATTCTGTATTGCACACTTCTCGCTCAAGAGCAAAACGATTCCCAGCGTCAAAAACTGCGTGAGAAGATGAAATCGGTCCCCGAGTTGGCTTCTATCCTCGTCCAGCTCGACTCCTCGGATATTGGAACCGGGAAAGAGGTGAGTAGCCATTGCCTTTTGTTTCTGCAGGAGTAGGGCAGGGTGAGGCTTTGCTGCTCTACGCATTCCGCAGCACTATGATAATGAGATAGCGACAGCTAATCATAACCATGTTTTTGTTCGCCGCACAGTCGAGAGCGAAAGACAAGGGAAAGAAGCGGAATCTGGAAGAGGACGACTCGGACGACGAAAAATCCTCCAAACTCCGACTGTCGTCTTGCAAACTCCTCGACCTTGAGGATTTGGCCTTCTCGCAAGGATCGCATTTCATGTCGAGCAAACGATGCCAGTTGCCGGATGGTTCCCTGCGGAAAACTCACAAAGGCTACGAGGAGATTCAAGTTCCCGCCCTCAAACCTAAGGCATTCGATGAGGGAGAGAAACTAGTGCCGATCGATACGCTCCCAGACTGGGCTCAGCCGGCGTTCGACAAGTTCAAATCCCTCAATAGGTTCGCTCCCTCACCATGAAGATAAAGAAGTACAAGAAGAAGAAAATTGATTTACCTCAATGTAGCACCGGGAAAACTCTCTGAATCTCGTCCCCCGATGCTTTCCAGGATACAGTCACGACTCAAGGACGCTGCGCTGGAATCGGATCAGAACATTCTCATCTGTGCCCCCACAGGAGCTGGAAAAACGAATGTAGCTCTCCTCTGCATGCTCAGAGAAATCGGGAAGCACATCAACACAGACGGAACAATCAATGGAGACTCGTTCAAGATCGTATACGTAGCACCCATGCGCTCACTCGTACAGGTTTGTGGAGTCCCCGGTTCCTTACTTGGATCTTCACCTCGACCCCCCTGGTCGAATCTTCCTGAGTTGGAGCCCTTTTGAGGGGTCTTGGTCCCGCAGTGACTCGATCCTAGTTCATCCACTCCTACAGGAAATGGTGGGCAGCTTCTCGAAACGATTGGAAAAGTACGGCTTGGTGGTGTCCGAGCTGACAGGAGATCACCAACTGAACCGCGAGCAAATCAACGCCACCCAGGTTATCGTGTGCACTCCCGAAAAATGGGATATCATCACCCGAAAAGGAGGCGATCGAACGTATACCCAATTGGTGAGTCGACGACTCCCGCTCGTATCCTCCGGGCCTCCGGATTATTCTGCCAAAAATAGACCGAACGATTCTCCGACACCTCCATAATAAGGGCGCATCATCCAGGTACGCCTGATGATTTTCGACGAAATTCATCTCCTCCACGATGAGCGAGGACCCGTTCTCGAAGCCCTAGTTGCAAGAACTATACGTAACATGGAAACGACGCAGGACGACGTTCGACTCGTTGGTCTCTCGGCCACACTGCCGAACTACAAAGACGTCGCAACATTCCTCAGAGTAGATCCGAAGAAGGGCTTGTTCTATTTTGACAACTCGTACCGACCGGTACCCTTGGAGCAGAAGTTCATCGGAATCACTGAGAAGAAGGTCCTCAAACGGTTCGAGATCATGAACGAGATCCTCTACGAGAAAATAGTCGCCAATGCCGGCAAGAGTCAAGTAAGCCCCCTCTTTTTTCTCGTTGTGTACCGACATTCCATTGTGAATCCAGGCTCCTACGGAGCAGAAAATGTTCTCTTGTGCGTGCCCGCCTGTACAACGCTCCGTTCATTCTTCGTTGCAGGTCCTCGTTTTCGTCCATTCTCGAAAGGAAACGGCGAAAACGGCAAAAGCCATCAAGAATCTCTGTCTGGACAAAGACACTCTGAGTCTTTTCCTCCGAGAGGGCGCCGCCAGCACCGAAGTCTTGAGGAGCGAAGCCGAACAAGTCAAAAATCTTGACCTGAAAGACCTGCTGCCGTACGGATTCGGTATCCATCACGCCGGAATGTCACGTGTGGACAGAACTCTCGTGGAGGACTTGTTCGCCGACAGACATCTCCAGGTCAGTTCTCGATGGCGAGGTTCCGATCCCGGGTCGTTTTTTTTTTCTCGGTCCGCGGGAAGCCGAACGCGTTGGTAATAATTTGAATCGGGAACATTCGCTCCGTCGCAGGTCCTGGTCTCGACTGCCACCTTGGCCTGGGGTGTGAATCTCCCCGCCCACACGGTCATCATCAAAGGAACCCAAGTTTACAACCCGGAGAAGGGCAAATGGACCGAGCTTGGAGCTCTAGATGTCCTGCAGATGTTGGGTCGTGCCGGAAGACCGCAGTACGACACCAAAGGAGAAGGAGTGCTGATGACCAACCACTCGGAGCTCCAATACTACCTATCCCTCTTGAACCAGCAGCTGCCCGTCGAGTCGCAGATGATTTCTAAGCTACCCGACGTCCTGAACGCCGAAATCGTCCTCGGTAACATTCAGACCGTCCAGGATGCCGTCAACTGGCTCGGGTACACGTATCTCTACGTGCGCATGATGAGAGCTCCCCAAGTCTACGGGATCTCATCGGACGACATGGAGAACGACCGACTCCTGGAGAAATTCAGGGCAAATCTCATATTCACGGCCGCCACGAAACTCGATAAGGCCCAGCTGATTCGCTTCGATCGTAAATCCGGTAACTTACAGGTGAGAATTACGGAACAGAAGAAAAAAAAAGAAGAAGAAAATTCCCGTAGCTCCGCAGTCGACAGATCGAGCGCTCGGTCTGAGAAACTCGAAGCGTTCCTATATAGTCTGCTGTGAGTTTCGAAATTGTCAATGAATAAGAATTCCGATGTCTGTCGCTGCAGGTCACGGAGCTCGGCAGAATCGCCTCCTATTTCTACTGCACCCACGAAACGATGGCCACGTACAATCAGATGCTGAAGCCGACCCTGAGTGAAATCGATCTCTTCCGAGTGTTCTCGCTATCCGGCGAGTTCCGCAACATCGTGATTCGTGAAGAAGAGAAGCTCGAGCTGAAAAAACTCACCGAACGAGTTCCAATCCCAATCAAAGAAGGCGTTGAGGAACCTGTCGCTAAAGTAAACGTACTCCTGCAAGCCTACATCTCGCAACTCCAGCTCGAGCGCTTGGCTCTCATGTCGGATATGGTGTACGTCACACAGAGTGCAGCGCGTCTCATGAGGGCGATATTCGAAATCGTTCTGCATCGGGGTTGGGCTCAGTTGGCCGACAAGACTCTATCGATGTGCAAGATGATCGATAAGGGGATGTGGCAGAGCATGTCACCTCTGCGTCAATTCAAGAAGATCCCGAAGGAGGTCATCAAGAAACTCGAAACGAAGAATTTCCCGTTCGAGAGGCTCTTCGACCTGAACGTCAGTGAAATCGGCGAGCTACTGCGTATGCCGAAAATGGGGAAAACAATCCACCGATATATACATCAGTTCCCGAAACTCGATCTGGTGGCTCACATCCAACCCATCACGAGGTCCACGCTGAAAGTAGAGCTCACGATAACGCCAGATTTCCAATGGGACGAGAAGGTTCACGGAACTTCGGAAGCCTTCTGGATCCTGGTCGAGGATGTCAATTCGGAACTCATCCTCCATCATGAGTATTTCCTCCTGAAACAGAAATTCGCTCAAGACGAGCACTTGGTTCGATTTTTCGTAGCTCTATTCGAACCCGTCCCGCCACACTATTTCATTCGGGTCGTTTCGGACCGGTAAGCACATTTTCGAGAAAAACATCCGCATCGCAAAAGCGGAGCATGTATTTCCTCATGGTATCCCCTCGCTGGAAGACCTCCTTGTCGTATTCTCATTCGAATCTAATGGAAACCCTTTATCTCGTTCCGCAGATGGATCGGCAGCGAGAGTCTTTATCCTGTCTCGTTCCGTCACATGATTCTCCCCGAGAAATACGCTCCACCCACTGAGCTATTGGACCTCCAGCCGTTGCCGATTTCTGCATTACAAAACAAAGACTTTGAAGCTCTTTACGACGGAGCTTTGACTTCCTTCAACCCGATACAAACTCAAGCGTTCAATGCCATATACAACTCGGACGACAACGTTTTCGTAGGTGCTCCGACCGGATCGGGCAAGACAATCTGCGCCGAATTCGCCATCCTCCGACTCTTCAGCCAACAAGATGAAGGTCGCTGTGTCTACGTCGCACCTCGCGAAGAGCTCGCTACGATTGTCTTCAAGGAGTGGGAGAAGAAATTCGCAAAGAAGCTCGGAAAGAAAGTCGTCATGCTCACCGGGGAAACCGGGAGCGACCTGAAGCTCCTCACGAGCGGCAACATCATCATCTCAACTCCCGAACGTTGGGATATCCTTTCCAGGAGATGGAAACAGAGACGACCGGTTCAGAACGTCGATCTATTCATTGTCGACGAGCTGCACCTGATTGGAGGTCAGGAGGGGCCGACGATCGAAATTATCTGCTCCCGAATGCGGTACATCTCTTCCCAGCTGGAACGTCACAACATTCGGATCGTGGCCCTGAGTTCCTCTCTGGCGAATTCTCGCGATGTGGCTCAATGGCTCGGAGCGGGAGCGAATTCCACATTCAATTTCCATCCGAACGTCCGACCCGTTCAGCTAGAGCTCCACATCCAGGGTTTCAACATGACCCATAACGCCAGTCGTCTCCTGGCCATGGCTAAACCTGTTTGCCAGGGAATCGCGAGGTTATCGCCGCGGAAACCTGTCATCGTTTTCGTACCTTCAAGAAAACAGTCCCGGATCACTTGTATCGAGCTGCTGACCTATTCGGCTGCGAACAGCGCGGAAAACAGTTTCTTGCATGTTCCGCTCGAGGATCTGAAGCCGTTCCTGGATCAGATGACGGACAACACGCTAAAAGAAGCTCTGCAGGGGGGCGTGGCCTATCTCCACGAAGGCCTTTCGTCCGGTGATCGTGAAATCGTCGAGCAGCTTTTCGACTCCGGTGCGATCCAAGTCCTCGTGGCGTCCAGCTCCCTCTGTTATGCCTTGACACTCCAAGCGCATCTTGTCATTATCATGGATACCCAGTACTACAACGGCAAAATCCATTCTTACGATGATTATCCGATCACGACCGTCATGCAGATGATCGGCCGAGCGAACCGTCCGCGGACCGATGACGATGCCAAGGTTCTGCTCCTCTGTCAGCAGAGCAAGAAAGAATATTTCAAGAAATTCCTCTACGAACCGCTCCCCGTCGAGAGCCATCTCGACCACTGTCTGCACGATCATTTCTGTGCGGAGATCGTCACCAAAACCATCGAGAACAAACAGGACGCGATCGATCAATTGACTTGGACCCTTATGTACCGTAGAATGACTCAGAATCCCAACTATTACAACCTGCAAGGTGTGACCCATCGGCACCTCTCAGACCATCTGTCGGACCTCGTTGAAACGACGCTCAACGATCTTGAGCAGAGCAAATGTATCGCCATCGAAGATGAAATCGATGTGTCCCCTTTGAATTTGGGAATGATCGCTGCCTACTACTACATCAATTATACGACCATCGAATTGTTCTCCGTTTCTCTGAACAATCGAACCAAATTAAGAGGTCTCCTGGAAATCGTCAGTTCCGCGGCCGAATACGAAAGCGTCCCGGTTCGGCATCGAGAGGAGTCGATATTGAAACAGCTCTACGAGAAACTACCTCATAAATTAACGGATCCCAAATTTTCCGACCCTCACGTGAAAACCAATCTTCTCCTCCAAGCACATCTGTCGCGGATCCAACTGTCGGCTGAACTGCAAATGGACACAGAGCTCGTTCTGAAGAAGTGCATACGACTGATTCAGGCGTGTGTTGACGTTCTCTCCTCGAACGGATGGCTCACCCCGGCGCTGGCAGCCATGGAACTCGCTCAGATGGTCACCCAAGGAATGTGGAACAAAGACTCCTACCTGAAACAGCTGCCGCATTTCGGCCCGGAGGTCATCAGTCGGTGCCGAGAGGCCGGAGTCGAAACCGTTTTCGACGTGATGGAGCTCGAAGACGCCGAGCGTGACAGACTTCTGCAGATGACGCAAGCCCAAATGATGGACGTTGCCAAGTTCTGCAACCGCTACCCGAGCGTCGAGGTGTCGTTCGAGGTCGCCAACGCGGATTCCGTCCGGAGTGGAGGAACGGTCAATGTGATTGTACAACTCGAACGCGAAGACGAGGTCACCGGCTCGGTGTTGGCGCCGCTGTTCCCACAAAAGCGAGAGGAGAATTGGTGGCTCGTGATCGGCGAGCCATCGACGAACTCGTTGATCTCTATTAAAAGGTTCAACCTACAACAAAAAGCCAAAGTTAAGCTGGACTTCGTGGCTCCGTCGTCGGGAGAGCACAGCTACGTGTTGTACTTCATGAGTGATGCCTATATGGGTTGCGATCAGGAGTATAAATTCAATTTGAAGGTCGGTTCCGCGAAACGCCGACACAGCGATGACGAGAGCGACTGAGTATCTTACATCTGATGAACAAAGGATTCCATCAGCCCGGCAGGCAGAGAAACGGAATTTCTCCGGCCTAATCTAGAAGTGGACTGGAAGCGCTGTATGTTGTAATTTTATCCATCCAATCTTGTAATTATTCAACCTAAAAATAAACGTCTCTCCACGAAAATCTGTTGGACTACGAATTCCAATCATTCGGCATCAGCATGATTGTATCTTGTCCCGTCGTTCATTTCCCTTCCTGCACACACGGACAAGGTGCTCTCGAAAAACTACTTCTTTCTGTAGAGGGGGCCTGACGCCCCGTCGGGGAATTTCGAACCGACGCATTCTTCGATATTTTCAATTCCGGATTTGCATCGACCAGCGGTATGATGAACGCATGAGAACCCGATGCAATGCACCGCCAGCGCATCGACTCGGGGCCGATGGAGAACGCGGGGCGAAAAAGCCAGCCGAATGAATCGGGGCCCAGCTGTTCGGAGGCCCTCACGACCACCACCGTGGACGCCCATTCGGTTGAGCAAAGAAGGCTCATCTTGCGCGTTCCAACCTGAAAGCTGAGCTCGGATGCGAGACGGCTTCGCTCATCGCTGCAACGAAAAGGAGAAAACTCCCGATCATTGATATCGACGAATGAGACATGTCAATCACTGCTGGGACGATCGGAACTGAATACGTCCAATCTTCGTTTGAAAGCAGCTTCCGAAGAATGATTTTGAGCAGGTGTCGCGCTACGTACCGACGGTAACGGTATCGTCCATTCGAAGAGGAGGCGAGGGTCACGATGAGCGCGGCGCGCGTTGGCAGATCCTCACAGAAAAGAGAAGTCAAGAAGAACTTTTCTGCTTGTTCTTCATCTCCTCCTTCTTCTCGTCGCCGTCTGTCTCACCGCGCGATCGGTCAGAGAGCCTCAGTTGATGGTGAGAGCCATCGGGCGTACGCTTGTGGATTCTTCGCAGTGGTCAGACTGTTCCGTGGCATCAGAACGGTCACTCACGAAACAATACGAATCATCCGAGCCATGAGTGAGATTGTGGACGATGGCTACGCGTGCTCGTATTTTTCTGCTCGCTGCGCGATGAATATCAGAGTCACCACCGTGTCGGAAGTTTGATCACCGTTCCGAAGGAGTACACTTCGGAGCAGAAAAGGATCTTCAAGGTTAGCTTCTGGAGCTGTGTTTGATTGTCGATATGAACTGTGCATCCTTGAATCTATGAAATCACGATGCTTAGTGTCGATCTATGAATAACCCCATGGCTCGTTGCCTCGACCGCCGGATTGCGGTGGTGTTCGAGAGCAACACTCTTGATCGCACCACCATCGATGGCTCGAGCATATAGTATTTCGAAGAGGTGCTCGCAAGTTCTTCGGGCTCGGAAAACGAGACCGATTCTCGAAGAAGTCTCGAAAGCACCTGAGTGTCCGCGGACTGGCTGCTGACATGTACCAGGTGCCGTTCTTCCGCTCAACATTCAATTTCTGGCCGCGTGGGCGGTAAGAGTGGAAGGAATCAAAGATGTTTTATCATAACAAGAAAAGACGAATGCGGAATCGATTTTCACCGCTTGCGAGTAATGAGATCGTCTGTCCGTAACAGGGACTCTTTGCGTGGGGCTCGTGCACGAGATTCGGACATATCGCTGAGCATGGTGCCATGTTCTGCAAATACGAAACTTGCGACCAACAACTCTGTGCCCATCGAAGGTGGTCACCGGGGTTATCCTGAAATATGCAATGTGCGTGATTTTTCCGTCTTCGGTCTACGATATAAACTCGGATATACGAACAAGATTTACTTAAGGGGGACGCAACTATTCACATGATCGATTGGGCGAACCGCGATTTTGGGGTTTCGATCCGCTCATGATCCGCTCCCTGTCTTGACAGCGAATCCAGATTGTGATTATTTTGCACCTAACGAGTGACGGTCGTCATCGTGCCTGTTGTTCAAATCGATTTCGTTATCCCTGCCGCCTTCGTCTCCCGATGCCTCTGTGTCTGAGACGTTTCCATCCATTGATTTCCCGCTGCGGATTGAAAAAGAGCTGATTTACGCCAAGATGATTGGGAAATGAGTCGAATCCCCCTCTCGGATTTTCGGAGATCGGGAGTCTGCAGTGTGGGTGTGGCAGGCAAACTCCAGTACGGGGGAGACTGAGCAGCATCAGAAAAGAAATTCGCCTGACGCTTGCCGATCGCAGATCAGATGACGGCGTACGATTGAGAGCTGCTCCCATATCTATTGTGATTGGAGCGCAGTGCGTTGCCGCTTTCGAAAGTCGTCAACGAAGAAGAATGACGGAACGAGGCATTTTCTTCGTTTCGACCGCAATCGGCTGAAAACATCCAGTCAGAGCGAGGAAAACAATTCGACGTCGCCGCCGACATCTTCCGTCGAGCGGCGTTCGCACACCATGTCTCCGGATTACACGCTTTCCATTCATGGCAAACGACCGGGCCTTCATCTGCGCTGGCTTGCTCCACTGCCTATTTTCCTTTTGTTTACTTGAGAAGCTTGCCAATATTATTCTGCATGGTTTTAGAGACGTGATTATATCGCCGAGAGCCTCGTCTGCCGATCCTACGGGGAAAATCAAATAAAAAACGAGTCGCTATCGATTCCCTTTTCGTCGATGTAAGAAAATATTTATTCAACTCAAATCTCTGAGACCACCCCAGCGAGTGCTCGCGCCGCGTGTGAAATATTCCCTTCGTTAAGACCGCTGAGATTTATGCGACCGTTGGCTAAAATATAAACGGAATATCTTTCCTGTAGCTTCTGTACGTCGTTAAGATCTACGTCGACGGAACAATACAGTCCCTTCTGGTGGAGTATTCGTTCCCATCGTTCAGACGGTAGTTCTCTCATTAGGGCGTCATACAATCGTCGGCGATTCTTCTGCAATCTATCGGATGCCTGACGTAGCTCCTCAAACCACAGGTCGCGGAGCTGGGTGTCGCCTAAAATCGTCGCAATGATGAGAGCGGGGTCGCGGGGCGGTGCGACGTACGAGTGATAAACGATCGTGAATACGGCAGCCTCGATGGCTTGTAGCGCTTCGGTATCGCTCGCGACTACTGTCAGAGACCCGATACGGTCCGAATACATTGTGAGGTTTTTCGAGAAACTCTGGCAAAGCAGCACGTCCAGCCCGGCATCGACAAAAATTCGCACTGGCTCGAGATCCGCGAAGGGATCTCCGCTCACGTATCCGTGATAGGCCGCGTCGAGGATAACGCGGTGCTTTTTCTCCTGAACGATAGCAACGATTTTTTTCCAATCCTCGATCGTAGGATCGCAACCGGTGGGATTGTGGCAGCAAACTTGCAGGAGCACCGCAGAGCGGCAATCGAGCGCTAGGAGATCCTCAAGCATTCCGTCTAGATCGAAGGCTCCGTTTTTCAAGTAGCGGTAATGCCCGATATTCGTGACTCCGGCCAAGGGGAAAATTTTCGCGTACGTAGGCCAATGCGGAGACGAGAGGAATATCGTGTCGCATGCCATGTACTTGCTTAAGAGATGGCCGACAATCGACAGGGCTCCCCCTGCCCCCAACGACTGGAAACTCGAACTGCGACCCAGTGCCGGATGTCCCTTGCCTAGAACAAACTCTGTCACAAGCCTTCTGAAGTCTTCATTGCCGCCTTGGTGCGGATAATTGTGGCAGTGCACCCGGCTGTGAACTATGCGTCGAGCTTCACGCGCCTGAAACAATTTCGTTTTGCTCAGCATTCATTATGCGGTGCGGATAAGGGCGCCACATCGCATACGATTGATTCGGTCCTCACAGATCTGCGATCTGTTACGTCATGCGGCCGCGTTGTGCGGAACACATACACAGATCAATCGAGAACTTTTCGCGTGGAACAAGGTCACTCACCGTTTCGAACGCATGGAGTTTCTCTCGCTCGTTCCAATAGGTTCCCACTGTGAGGTTGGCCTTGAGTTTCGCATCGTCTCGGCGGTATTTCTCGAGAGCTTCGTGGGGCAAGACCGGAGGGTTCGTCCGAGGGAAAACAAAAGCCATCCCGAGCTTCTGCTGCCCGCGATTTGTGCAGTCGAAGAGCCTCGTTTCGCGGCAGAGCTGCGGGAGGATTGGGCTGTACAACTAGCTAGCAGTATGATATGACAGACAAGATATCGGTGTTTTTATGCCGCATCTACCGCAAGGAAACCAAGTCGATTAATCGGGGCGAAGAATGTGCGTCGCTTGTGGTGTGAACAGGGCATCCCCGAGCATAATTCGGTGAAGAGAGGAAGAAATTTCGGAAAGAGTCGCTTGCCATCCAGATGCCGACACGGGGCGATAGAAAAAACTCGGATGGCACGTAGCACCGTCCTAATTCAGCTCAGCAATCGATCTGGCTCCGCTCGACAGCTCTGGTGATCAGGAGGTCGACGAGGCGATATCGCGGTGCGATTGAGTAAATTTTGTACCGCAGGTAGCTAGATGTCGATCTCCTCCGAGACGGCACGGAAGAGGAGAAATAAATTGAATACTCTACGAGAAGAATTCGCCCCGAACGTGTACAGAACTCAACACGCCATCGCTCGGTGGGAGAAAATTTTACAGTTTCCCATCGTGAGGTTGTCTCCTTACCTGGAGGGCTTTGATTCCACGGAGAAACTTCCTCATCGACTCATAGAATCATTTCGCGACACCTTAGGAATGGAGTTGCGATCAGCTGAGCTACGCTCTCGAATTCGGGAAACACTGCGACGTCATCAAAATCCACATCTGATTGCCGCCGATAGTGCGAGAGCCAAGTACGATGGTGGAGGCATCGCAGCTGAAAGACGAAAACGTCGTTACCCTTCGCTGGAAAGGGATTTTCGGTGTAGATACGAGGCGAGCAGCCTCGCCTCACTTTCATGGAGCCGCGCCACCGAAAAAGTTCCCGAGCCATCAAGGGTGGTCACAAAGAGGGGGGTTGAGGATCAAACGATAAATTCTATTAAAAACCTTGACGAGCAAGAGAGACACCCTCCGTGGATCGCTCGATAGAATCTTATCAGGCGGCTCTTAGGCGATCTAGCTGTGGATAATAATTCTCATTCGTTTTTCAGTGGTTTATCCAAATGAGGCCTTGGTGCAACCACGAGAACTTTATCAGACAAGAAGAATTATCCGAAGAATCTTATTCCTTCTCAGAATGGGTCGCCGTCGGAGTCCACAGTCGGCCTATCAGCCGTACGTCAAGCGGAGCGGTCTGACAAGCGTCAAAGCTACTTCATTCTTTCTGTACCTGGGTCTCGGAGCTGTTCTGCCTTTCCTCAATGAGCATCTCGCTCAACAGGTACGTCCGAAATTCTTCAAGTAACGGAATTCTTCTCCGAACAGAACACGGAAAACGTTTGCATAGGAACCCCGAATCGAGATCAGGATCCGTTCGAGACTCGATTGCCAATCGACCGCGAGATGGGTCGCGTTTCGAGCGGGGCTACACGTAAACAGAAGAACAGAAATTCGGGAGACCCTTCGCTGAACGGCCTATAATAATGATTGCTATGGAATAATCATGTATGATGTCAACGATCCGATGAAACTGGAACTTGCCACAGGGACTAAACGGCGAGGAGCGGCTGCTAGTGGAAGCGATCTCCGCTTTGGCCACATGCGGTCTCCCCCTGCTATTAGTCAGGACCGCAGAGCATGTTGGATGTCACCGAGGAAGTTTCTTCATCGCGATTCTGATCTCCGCCCTCGTTTACCCAGCTTCACTATTCGTAAGCGGACTTCGATGCTTGGCCCGATAGACAGTAATAATCGACTCCAGCAAGATTTAACAACAATTATTGCTCACTCCCTCAGGTGCCCAAAGTCGAACGTACACCACAGGATCCGATTCTCGAATTCGACTGTCGGGAAGGGCTGATTGTGGAGCGCTGCCCCTCATGGACTTCATGTGCGGAATCTGACCTGAATCCGAAGGGCGCCGCTCATTTCCGTCTCACGGACTGCCGTGTGAGGTGACGACCTTTTTACGAGAATACTTTGAGAGATTTCTCCCCCGCCGCTTCACTCAGCCTGAGCTGACACGATCCAACAGGGAGAACATGCATAATGGAGCACGCGGAACGATTGGGGAGAAATTCTTATAGAGACAATCTAATGCGACTCACAATTGAAATCTCAGGTGTCGTCCGGATGACGAAGCCATCAATTTCGGACCGATCAATGTCTGCTTTCAACCCAATAATGAAGGTCAGCTCCCGATCTCCGAACCTCTTCCTACCGCCAGATAGGAATATCGCGGCGCTCATCGCTTCCGTATACGGATAATTGTTCCCTCGATTTCCTCACGAGGTCTATTTCCAGCTCAACACTGCCACGTCATGGAGCGAGGAAACTCGTCCGTAAGCTTCACGTCTACTTTCTTGCCGTCAACCGCACGCTCTCTAGCTTGGACACCTGCAGACCCACAGGATATGCAGGCAGTATGCGGATTTGATCTCATGTCTCCCATACATTACAACGGCAAACAATATAATGAAATCAGCTGTCGTAGCGCGACTTCGAGCTGCGTGCGCTGTAAAGTCTCAATAGCGGACTCTAATGGTAAGGACCGCGTCTGAGTATCCGATTGATGCGCCATGCTCTGGATGCCTGTCTCTCGCTCGTCGTTTCTCGCCTAACTGAATTCGTCCTCCAGGAAAGCAAATGAAGGCAGCTTCTTGTATCCAAGAAATCGGGGACCCTCAACTAACTCTGTGGTTGACCTTGACTCTGCGTTGTTTGGGCGATGCGTTCGCACTATCGGCGGTGGTTCTTCTGGATCTCCTTGCCCTAGACGCCTCGCGGGATTCCATGACAAAACTCGGCTGTGTCCGCGCTTGGTGCTGTCTTGGAGGAGCCATCGGGGCGGTTTCTTCAGGATTCTTGAACGATTATTTCAAAATTCACGTCCCCGGCTTCCAGTGGGCCCCTCCGGCCGTCATCTTCACAGGTAAATTTATCCTCGCCGTGGTCGTGTTGGCATCATTCCATCTGACTAACTGATCATAAAGGCCACAGAAAACAAATCGGAGAATGATCGAGTCTAGATCGCTCCGCTTTGGCTGGGACGAGGAGCTCATATCGAAACCTGGATCGTGGTATCTCGAGTGTCTGAGAGTTTTGGCACCGCGCTCATAAATGCAAAGACCACAGCCATGTTTCAGGCTGCTGCATCGTTGTCGAATCTCTGGCTTGTTGTCTCCTGCGACCCGTCGAGGGGATTTCTTCGTTCTTCGTGGATCACGGCTCTCAGCATCGCCGGTTATGGTCGGGGGAATTGATAATCCTCCTGTTCTTGGTGTCCATCCTCGGCATCGATATTTGCTTGTTGGAGGGCCATGTGAAACCCTGGTATGTTCTATGTGATCTTTTCCATGAGCTCTCAATCATTCCTATTCCGATACACTTGGATGAGAAACCTGCCGCAGGAGTTTCCAGGGCCATGAATTTCGTCATGATTCTCATCGATTCTTTCCCCAGGTATCTGACGATGGGCGCGACCCATTTCGATTTGGGCCTCAGTTGGACCGTTCCTCTCTTGATTGCGGTTCCGCTCATGACAGCTGCGGACACTCTCTTGAAGGGAACGGGACGAATAAACTTGATAGTTTTCGCTTCACTTTTTTACGCGACGCGAATGGGTGGTGTCTCATTCATCAGGTGAGTTCCGATCCCCTCATCGGTATGCCGCGGAGACGGAGGAAGAAACTTTCTGGATTTTCGAACACTAGTCCCTCGGTAGATCGTTCGCCGTCATTGCGGCGACCCAGGTTGGGTAGCCTATCCATGAGGAATCTGTCATGAGTATCGAGACTCAACGCTTTCAGGTGCCTACGCTGGGCGGTACCATTCGAAATCTTGGCTTGCTTGACGGGTCCCGTGTTCTGGCTGGCGGTCGTTTCTTACAGTAGAAAAATCTCTAGACCGGCCAACCGTTCCACAGTGCACGCTCTGCTCAACGTGGCTCATTTCGGAGTGGGTGAGTGTGAACTCAGACGTACTACACAGTGGTTGAATACAGCTGGCTTCCTTGTCTGATTAAAGCCTCGAACCCAATTGAGTGACGAATTCTCGCAGGACGTCTCCTGTGCCTGGTGATCGCAGCGTTTTCGATCGATATGATCGGTTTGCGATGGACGCTCCGACTCGCGGCTACAGCCACCGCCGGCTTGGGGTTAACTTTCTATAATGTTTACCACTGTTGTGTCAGAGTCGCGCGGATCCGGAGACTCCAACGGAGAAGTCATCTCCATCGACAACTAACAGGTTTGCATATTCGGTGTCCTCGTCGTCTGAATCCCGTACATCGCTTGATAGAATGCTTTCTATGAAATTTCTCAGGCCGTTCTCGTTCATCCTCAGGGGACAATGGACAGTGGTATCCTGACAGCGTGCAGGGCGAACATAATTGGCCCATCATCGAGCCGGTTCCTCCCTTGCTGAGACCGCGATCGGCGTTGGCCATACCTTCGGCCTATGATTCCGACGAATCCGAATACGAGTATTCGTTGGGTTATAAGAGTTTGTCCAGGTCGACATCACGTCTTCCCCGACAGAGCCAAATATGAATCCTTTGTGGAATGCTTATATATGTACGACGGAGTCGGGCAGCGAGTTGCGCTCTTAAGTAGTAAACGGAGACGATGTAATCGAGATCGTTCCTCTCTCTGTATATGACTTGAGTTGTAAATAAAATGAAATATCCGATGTATGATATCAAATCGCAAAACGTCACCACAATCATCATCCGCTGAATAAATCGCCCGATACCTATGTAGACATCTCCAGTGTTGTTCAAGGACATGTCGCGCACTGCCGGAACCGCGATTTATTTGTTGAAAGGTGTCTCCCAGAGCGTAAATGTTTGGTCTAATCAACAGGCGTCAACTACATCCTCATCGTCGACCTCCTCGTCTTCGACGGGACACCCAGCTTCTTTCTCGACAGACGTCTTCTCTTCTTCTCCTTCCATCTCCTCGTCACTTGAGAGGAACTCTCGCAATAGCATAGTCGCATAGGAAGCTGCAGGCAGACTGAAAGAAAGTACTACGCCGATTTTTTCCTCCGAGTCCACCTTCCCGTCCGCGGGAGGAGCCGGTTTCTTTCGCTCGTAAATTTCCTCTCCGTTCTTCAACTGCGCTGCTCTCTCTTTCTCCCGTCGGTCCTGTTTCACCTTGAATCGGAATCAGACTCAGTCAGGGCTAAGATCCTGTATAGCCTTCGCTTCTCTCGGCGAATAATTCTCGTATTCCATCGTCGTTGTTCCAACCTGAATCTTCCTTGTCTCAAGCTCTCGGAGTTTCTCGTCTTTTTTGAGGAGAGCATCCCAGTCAGTTTCTACCAGTGGCTCATTGGGATTAGTGTAGCTTTTGATCTGGCGATGGCAAGGATTCTAATTGAGTAGGCAAGTATCGAATGGGGACTCGAACCCCTCAGTTCGGCGGAGAGCGGAGGAAAAAAGACTATACAACAGCAGACTCGGTCGTAGAGTGATTCTTGAAACTCTCTAGGTGCTTCAGCAACTCACCTCGAAGTCCAGGTCTTTGGGAAGACAGTAAACTTTGCGATATGTCCCACGCATGGCAAAGGATTTGTTGTTGGAACTGAAACAGTCCAAATTTTCGAATCCATCGGATTTGACGATATCGATGAACCATCCAGCCTGCTCGTTATCCGGGTACTTTATGGAAAAGCCGGGCAGGGGTAGAACAACGTCCCATATGGTGAAGCGTGTTATGTTTTCCGCCGTGACGTACTGTGGAATTCAGAGAATAAGGGAATCGCAGCGAGGATCATTCGTGATTCAGGACCGATTCAGGCCCTGAATGTGGTTGGGGAAATTATTCGATGCGGTACTGTGCGTGGTCGTGCGGCGGCGTATAAGATTCGCGCACGGAATTCTCGCTGGATGACGAGTGCTGAACTCACTTCGACGGGTGCTCTATCTCCGTCCTCCTTGGAATCAGGTGGCAGAACCAGGTCTCCGAGCACGACTTTCGCTCCGAACATCTCTAAACGCCTGCAATCTCCCGTAAACTTGCGTCAATACGTGCTGATCTCATATCTCGGACGACGCCACACCCCAACCGTCAGAAACAACCTTCTCACCTTGAAACGACACTGTTCCAGATGAAGCTCTGATAAGCGTGAATATACAATAGGCGCGTGTTCTTCTGAAGACCGAAGAGGGCCGACTGGATTTGAACGGAAAGGCGAGGTCAGAGATAAGTAGTCAGAATCAGAATTTTCGTCCAAGATCTCGACTCGAGAGCCGTTCTGGGACATCGACAGCGACGAACCATGAGGAAATTATTCCATATTTTGTGCGAGGAGTGTTGCCCTCCGACGTTGAGAGCACTCGCAGGAGGAGCCACTCTTCTATGAACAACACTTAAGCAACTGGCCTGGAAGTTCCCGGGGTCTTTTTTCAAAGCAGCCAGGAGATGTCCTTCAAGAGATGTTTGGGAGCCTCGAGTCGTCAACAGGTCGTAACATTTACTAGCATCCTTCGTTCCCATCCAAAGAGCCCGCGCAGCATCCAAGTCCCGCCGCGGTCGACCACCGTCGCGTGGCCGGAGTATGAGATCACAAGCTTCGGCCCACTTGGATGCCAGCATTTTTTTGCCTAGAAGTAGGAGAAAACTCAGACAAAACGCAAGTGGTCTCATAAAAGGATGCGTGTTCCATCCGAGGAAGACTTCAAGGAGATATGGGTTCGAGCTCCGAGGATTGCTTTGCTGACCTATGTCATGAGTAGGAATACTGGTGGTTCCGAATCGCTGGAGCCCGAAATAATTGATGAAGCCTTTCCGAAGATTCTCCAGGGCTGCTCTCATCTCTTCTTGCGTTCCCCCTTTGACATCTCTGGAATTTCGAGGGGGTCAGTAGACTCGTCAGTGACGTGAAAATGAGAGCTCGGGCAACTCATGAAAAGGAGTCTCATGTGGAGATATACTTCGTGTACCTCAGAGTTATGATGAACCGGTTGCCTGTGAGTTCTCCCAATTGTATTTGTTTCTGAGCGAAATGCACATTTCCTATCTTGAACTTTTCGTTCCGCTTATTGATGCCTGAGAATCAATCGCCTGTATTTCAGCTTCAAACTCGGCACAGGAATCTGCCCCGAGGAAAATCTAGATCCAGACTAGCGGAAAGCTCACCTAGGAGATAGTCAGGCTTCATACGATATACAGAAACCCTTTGCGTAGTGATGGCTCGTTTATCCTTCGTGCCCGCGTAAGAGAAGACGGAAGGTTTCGTTCTCGTGAGACCAGCTATAGCATTTATGGCCTCCATAGTGTCCGTATTGTCCTGGATCAAAAGCAACCACGTTCAATGAGCCCACGGTGGATGAGGCTGTTTCGCCATGCGCGTATTCTCCGTTCGCGAGCCGGAGAATCGTCGAAAAAAATCCCTACGACTCGTATCCGTGCTGCGGAAATATGCTCATCTCCAAATTCCCTATCATCGTATTCGGGAGCTTTGTGAGGATTTTGATTCTCACCTTGTATAGCACGAAAGTCGTATGATTCGGCCTACCGGTCGGCCAATAGTATCGTAATCTTTCGCCTTTGTGCGCGCTCTTCTTCGAGATGACTATGAACCTCTTCCCATCTGGAAATCATTCACCTGATCGTCAGCCATCAATGGCTTCGGTTCGATTGACCAAGCCATGGCCTCGGATGGAATCCCCTTCATCTCCCCGCAATACATGGAACACTTGTATACCGCCACACGGAGAACTCCTCGATATCTCACCATCGTCTTTCGTCTCGCTCTGGAGGGATGGGTATCCATTCCGCAGGGAGACATGCACGAGCGTTCTCTGTTCTTTCGTCATACTCCCGACGTCCACGCTGACAGTAGCCTTAATGTCTTCGTTCGCCATCATTTCCTCCAATCGATCTTTTAATTGCTGGTCAATACCTGGAGGAGGGAGCTGAGCCATTAAAGGTGGTGCAGAGGTCAAGGTATCTCCTGGGATTAGCCCCTCAATCACCATTGCATGTATCCGCTCAGTTGGCCGCTGTGTTCTAGATATATGATGAGAGGAGAAACGAACAAACCTTTCGTTCCGGTGTCGTCAGCCGTGACTGGGTTCTCCAGGGTCGTAAGTTGCACAACTTCACCGGCCAAGTCGATTTCCTTAACTATGAAGTCGAATGACCTGGAATTTCATATTCCATCTTGTTCACGAAATTTTGAGACTGACTTTTGAGGAATTAACTTGGAGAAGTACAGAAGAGGGCCAACTTCTCAAGCTCCAACCCTAGTGCCACCCACCTGGACTTCATTCGCGCAGTGAACGCGGGCCGTTTGTTCCCTGCCATGTATTGAGAAATACCGGCGGCACTCTCTCGTGGTTTGAAACGAGCTCTTTTGATCTGTGGGCCATCACCTCCGTCTTCTGGACAACGTTTCGAAGCCATCCGAGCAGAGTTTCCTCGATATCAATGAGAGAGGTCCTGTCCACCTGTTCGACTTTCGGGAAACTGGAAGCGAACGTGATCCGGCTCTTGAGCCGTATGAACAGTAGAACAGGACTTTGGTACGATCCACTGAGAGCGATCTTTGTGCCTCAGAATGTCCGAATCTGCCGAAGATGAGAATCGCTCCACAAACAAACTCCCGCTTCTTCTGCCAAAGTGTTCTGTTATGTTTACGCGACCACGTGGTTCTGGAGCCCTTTCCCAGCCGCTGGTGTCTCGAAGCTCGCGAGTTCCGTTCTCTCGGGAAGTCTTCGTCGTGGAGATGCCACAATTTCAACCTGGTGATTTTCGAGGATCACAAAAATGATACGGTGTACATCGTCTCCTCATTCAATTCCTGAGCTCCGAAAGGTCTTCGGAAGGGATCAGGGCTCACAGCGCCCTCTGGTTCGATAGTATGCAACTACAGATGAAGTCATAGGTCATAGTCGAACAGAAAATCATGGGGACAAAAAGCGATGGAATGCGCACTGCTGCATTGTGAATCTCGAAACTGACGAAGGAAAAAGGGGGAGCTCTGATGCCCATCCCTGCTGTGGGCTGATTCCTACTCCTCGATGAATTCTGTAGAGTTCCCACGTACCGGCAGACAGACTCTAGAATCCAGAACATCCGTCTTTGTCGGGGGGCGGCGCTTCCCAGGCGAAGAGAGGGGATCTATTTGCTGGATTATCCCGAGCAACCTCGCGCCGATTGATGATTTATGGTGTCCTGACCTCAAGCCTTCTGTGACACTCCCGGCTTGTCCAAGGAGCACGAATGCGCTAAGCGTTGAAAGCGTGGGTACTGCTCGTCCCGATTTTCGCATCATAGCTTCTCCAAATCCGACTTGTCCAAAGTCGAGAAAAAATTCTGCATTTGCCCCTGGGTAACGTGACGGGGATATTTCATACGTGTGCGTTTCGCATGACTACGCGAGAGAGCCTACTCAACCGAATGATGTTTGATCTCATAATTCATCTTGCATACATATATTGGTGTTCCATAGCCCATCGCTCATTTGAGCCACGCTCAGCCAGTGGTGATTATCTTGAGCGTATAGACGGTGTGAAAGAGTTCATCGATCAAACATCCTCTCGGGCTGTCAGGATCTGTCGCGAGAGCAGAGCCTACCGCCACCGCCCGTGAGTGATGAGCACAGTCCGATATAGGTGTCATCAACACTGCAGCAGATCACCGCAGGCAGGGAACCACGATCTCGGATCTGTCCATTAAACACATCGAGAGCATTCTAGGAACGAAGTATCCGAGGCCAGAGGGAAGAAGCACACCATGGTGTGTTTTCCCTCTTACATCAGTGAGTGACTGAGAAATATCCGCATCTTGGAACCAGAGCGGAACCTTCGGCGTCACGCTCGAGTTCACGCTCATCCCGCTCCGGAAATCAAACTCCGGATCTCCACAAGCTGCTATCGAGCGCGTATACCGATTGAATTTCCGAGTTCCTGGGACAGAGTTGGAGAGCTTTTTCTCTTGGGTTGTTCAAGAGAGTTTGTTGTCGGTCAGGGAATGCGATTGAAGATCACACGCTCTCCGAATGAAAAAAAACACATCATGCATCAAAGCTTCTCTTTTCTGAGTATCCCGTTGTGAGTCTCGGCCGGGCTTAGTCATGAATTCGTGGGCGCTCTTCGACTTATTTGAGAACGAGTCTGCCGTCTCCAAGCAAGTCTCTACGAGGCTCATCTCGATACGAGGTTCGCTGATCCTGTCAAAGACTTCCGTCGTTGACAGTCCCACTCCATCCATAGATGGCGTCCAATCGACGGAATCATCCAACCTCGCAATTCTGCGTGGATTGAAACTGAAACGAGCTGAAGGCTGGAAGATGTATCTGAAAGAGTCATCGCAGAGCGGGAGAGTCTGCGGCGGCGGTAGTCTCTCTTGGTCGTCTTTCTCTCTGAATCTCAGGGTTTGCTCTGGTGGGTCGGGTTTTCCAGCTACCGACTGACTGACTGGCACAGATCTGGAAGCTCCCGATCGCTAGCTGACGAACGAACGATTTCAAGTCGCGGGATTCCCGCCGTGCAGTGCAAGTGCCCGGAAGTCGATCGAGTGACAAATATTCCAAAAGCTCGAATCGCCTGCGCAGTCAAAGTCTGCAGGCGATCGGACGAATGGGGACCTTGAACCGATAATGCGCGATATCTCCTCGAAGAATGTCGTGGACAAGACTCGCCGTCGTCGTTCTCCTTCTTGTAGCAGGAGGATATGGCCGACAGTGCCGGGAGAACCCTCTGTGCGTCTGTAACACCGACTTGTCGAAGGATGTCATCTGCGATGGGGTGGCTTTCGCCAGGCTACCCCTGTCTCTGTTGGACAACCAGGTTACGACAACCCTTGTGATCATGCGTTCGAACATATCCGAGATCGCGGACGACGTGTTCTTCGATTCCAAACTCACTGCGTTGAATATCGCTGATTCCCACCTGAGTCGAATAGGAATATGTGCTTTCTGTGGAAATGTTGAATCTACGCTGGTGACCCTGGATCTTAGCGGTAACCGATTCTATGAGTTCCCCATACGGTCCCTGGTGAAACTGCAGAACCTGCGGTGGCTGTCGCTCCGGCGGAACCACATAAAAATGCTGGAATTCGAGCAAGATGAGGAAGGGGTTGGTTCACCGCTCTATGACAACTTGGTGAGCCTGTACCTGAGCGACAATCACATCGGGACCGTACGTCCTGGTACTTTCACGAAATTCACGCGTCTGCAGACGCTCGAGCTCAACAATAACGGCCTCACGCTCCTCGAAGAGAATACATTTCCGCAAACCTTAGTTAGTCTTCATCTGGATGGAAATCTTTTGACTGTGATCCCATTCGAGGCTTTCAGGAGTCTCGAAAGCCTCCAATGGCTACATCTGAGGGACAATCACATAGCGAAAGTGACTGCGGCGCCACACTTAGCCTTCAATTCCCTGATTCTTTTCGATCTAGGAGATAATCTGATCAGAAGCATTGCTGAGCCTCTAACCAACGGCGTAAACGTTCAGCTTCTGAAACTCGACGGCAATCATCTTTACAAAATCGAGCCCAGCTTTTTTGACCAACTCGAGGAGACGATTGTCTCTTTGAATGGCAACATATTATCCAGCTTGGATCCTCGAACTTTCGCTCGTTACAAACCGAAGAGAATCGATCTCAGTTGCAATAGTTTCGAAAGAGCGCCGGTCGAAGCCCTCGAAGAGAGTCAAGTCAAGCATCTGAACCTAAGCAGGAATCACCTCAAGGAGTTCGAGGCACGATTGTGTCAACTGACGAAACTTTTCATAAGTCAGAACAGACTCGAAGAGATTCCGAGCTTACCTTGCTCGAAAGGTCTCAAAGTTCTCGACGTCTCCAAAAATAGTATCAGGCTACTATCGGAAGATTCCTTCCCGTTTACGAATCTCCATACCCTCGACATATCTGACAACGCTATGCTCACTATCGGAGCATCACCTTTCAAATATCTGGTCAACTTGAAAGATTTCAATCTCGCTCACAACCGGCTCTCAACTATTCCGGCGGATCTCATTGACTTGCTGCGATCCGTTGAATACCTGAATGCCATGAACAACGCTCTCGAAGGTTTCATCAATTTGGCGAATCTCACAACTCTTAAACGGCTGGATCTTCGATTGAACCCGCGATTGAGGGAAGACGTCTTGATCGGCAGCAGTATTCAAGAGCTCGACTTCAGCTTCACGAAGATTTCCACCGATTTCATCATACCAACCGCTCGCCGTCTCAGTAAATACAGCTTTCAACTCTTCCCGAGCGAATCTCTGAGATCGCTGTTCGCTCAAAATTTCCCGGACCTCACCACAATCGATTTGCGATACTCGGCTATATCCCGGGTTGGTTCCAACGCGCTCTACTATCTACCCAATCTGGAATTCGTTCATCTGAGCCACTGTCGGATCGATACTCTGGACGAAGTGGCTTTCAATCGTCTACCGGCTCTGCAGCTGCTAGATCTCTCACACAATCGACTGCGGAACCTTTCTCTTAGCTCTTTCTGCCAACTTAGCGACTTCGACATCGTCCCGTCGACGGTCGACCTGTCCCACAACCAAATCAAATCATTGAGAGCTCAAGACGATCACTTGGAATACGAGTGCCAGAACTACATCACAGTTTTGAATTTGAAGCACAACCATATCTCCGACATCGATTTCGACGCATTCCTCACCGTGAAGAACACGCTTCTCGAACTCGATCTGAGCCATAACCTTCTCGGGGACCAGCAGTTGAAGAAATTCATTGACCTCAAAAGAGTTTCTCGGCTCAATCTCAGCCACAACCGTCTCGCAATGTTACCACGCCGAGCGATGACAGGCTTGTTCAATCTGCAGGAGCTTGACCTGAGCTCGAATCTGATCCAACAAATCACTCCATCGGCTCTGGCAAGCTTGCCTAAGCTCCGGGCTGTGGATCTGAGCTCAAATAATATAAGTTTCATTCCAATTGATGCTTTCAACGGAACGAGCATTGAGGTATTGAATTTGGAACGGAATCAACTACCCTCCTTGAAGAATGCGGCTTTCAGATCTATTGGTTGTGAGTATACTCATGAGAACAAAATCTCCTTCGATTCTGATCCATGTTTCCGGCTCCTAAATGGTTGGTTCTTTTTAGCGAATCTGACTGAGCTGTATCTCTCCCACAACGACGACATGCATGCTCTCACAAACGGTGAATTCGCTTATCTGACTCAACTCCTCCATCTGAGCATATCAAACTGTGGGATCAAGACGATCACTCCGGGATCGTTCAATGATCTGAGTCTTCTGATCTCTCTCGATATATCGAATAACTGGCTGAGTTATCTTGAAGCTCAGGTCTTCGAGAATCTCGCGCTGCTTCAGGTAAACTTGACAGACGAAGAGGGAGAGCTTCGCCCCATAGACTCTATCCGCCTTCGAGGGCTGGTCACGATGTCTGCAGGGACTGGATGATGCCAGACTAATGATACGGACGGGATTCATGATTCTCGACTCCTCATTTCAGCGTTTGGACTTGTCGAACTGCTCCTTGCGGACTTTGCCTTCACTGCACGTCCCCGAACTCAGATTCTTGTCCTTGGCGTCCAACCGGCTGGAAAAACTCCATGAAACGTCCTTCACGACAGCACGAGAGATACAAGATCTGGACTTATCCAACAATAGGTTGAAAGAGGTGCCTACAAACATATGGAGCACTCTCGCGGAGCTTCGATTCCTCAAGCTTGCTGCGAACCCTCTTCTTGCGATTCCCGACCAGAGTTTCCATGGGCTTGAGCTCCTGGAGAGCTTGTGGATCGAGCGCCTTTGGCAATTACGTCACATTGATATTCGATCTCTGTCGCTGAATCGGTGAGTCCATCTGAGGCGAAAACATTCTACATATCGGGAGGGTGCGAAACATTGACCCTGAGTCTCCTGCAGCGATTCCTATGCATGAGCGCTTCCGCAATATTCAGAGAGCTACTCCGGAAATGCACCCGCAGTATGACGTCTAACTCCGGTTTCTTTTCTCCCGCTCCCACCTCCCAGCCGATTGACGAGTCTGTCTACGTGGACCTATACAGGCAAGCAGGCATTTCGACTCGAGGCTCTCCTCTCGAGACTGCCCGCGTTGCGGGAACTCGAGGTCGAAGTCGAGGTGCGAACGCTCTCGGATCAAATCCAATGGGGTTTCGGTCATAAACTTCGTCGACTTCATCTTCGAGGCAAGAACTGGACGATAATGGCGGGAGACGCTCTCAGCGGTCTGGGAGGAGTGGAGAACACGAACAAGAAGGTTGGACATAGATCATACCTCGGGATTTCTGTATGTTGTCTCTCATTTCTCTCAGACTCTCTCATCTTATGCAGGAGATTGAGATCATCGTGAGCGATACATTTATCGAAGACATGCATTTCGGGTTCATCGAAAAGCTCACGCGACAGCCGAGAAGAGTGAATCTAGACCTTCGCCGCAACACCTTTCAACGCTTCTTTTCAGAGAAGAAAGATGACGTGCTCAATACTACTCAGGCCTATCCACAAGCTAGCCTGGGTGAGCGAATAGTCTCAGAGAAATATCATGCCTCCGTTCCATGGTTTCCCGCGGGCGCGCCGTGATTGCGCAGATTCCGTCCCAATCGAGTCTGCATTCCACACATTTCACAGGAATTTCATCTTTTCGGTAGGTTGGCTAGCGGTGGACACACAGGAGAGCTGCGAATGCAGTCGGAACAACTGGATTCTCGCATGGAGGGCTCGAGCTCCCATTTTCGTCCCAACACTCTGCCGCGAGTTCCCGGCATCGGTCAACTTCATCGCAGACGTTCGGTGCTCGCCGATCGATGATTACACGGCTATCGACGATGAAACGAAACGACGGACCCATTCCTTCGCCAGCAGCGACGGGACTCCAGGTCTGATGACTATCGTCTGTACCTTGTTGTCAATATTGATACTCAGAATTCGATGATGATAGACCCCCGGTTTTCCGAGATCGAAACGATTATAGAGATTCTCGACCTATGCCGAAATGTTTGCCGAAGATTCCAAACTGAGTATTCCATGAAGGACTTCTCTATGTATAAAGTAAATAGTCGACTTTTCCTGCGGACTCTTGGTGTGTTCTATCATTGATCCTAGAGGAAATCAGGTCACTCACACAGATCTGGATCATTCGCTCCGCCACATCGCTCCGGCAGCCTTGATTCGTCAGGTGAGGCTTTCCCTTCTCACCCAGCAGCTGATCCCCTGTTTCGGCCACTGCATGAGACCTCGCACGGAGCGTTCGATCGCCGGATCGGGAGTCTATCTCTCCGTATCGTCATTCCAGTATGGTGCTCGACTGCCATTGGCCGGACCCTCGGACTTCGACCGTTTTTCGTCTCCGATGATAGCAGGATGTAATCTCGGTTTTCCAAGACCATATATTCGGTCTGGAGAGAAGATCTCTCAAAACGAACGTCGCGGATTTATGATGCATGAGCGGCAAGCCCCCGAGCATTTATTCATAATAGAAAGTGATACCAACTTTCAAAAGCGATTGATTTATGTTGTACACCGTTATAAGTTGGCGAGATGCGTCATATTGGAAGTCTGTATAGTTCTGATTCACATTTACGCTGACGCGTTCCGGTCTTGATTTTACACCGTAGACGTGGACTCTGTCGAGTTTACCAACACCACCTCCGGTCAGATTCCCTATAGAGACGCTGTTGCCGCTCGCGATTGCCATGATCAAGTCGTAGTCTCCCTTCTCGACGACATCAATGCTTTCGCCATCGTCTAGGTAGAGATAACCGACAGCTTGCGAATCTTCTTCCAGGAAGATATAGACTCCGAAAGGATTTTGGCGAGAATCCGTTGTAGTTCTCCCAGGTTCCTGGTAGAAGACAGCGCTCCCCGCCTTCATGAAGAACTGAATGGTATCTTCGTATGCCTCGAGAGAAACGTATCTCCCGCCTCCAGTAGCGTCGATCGTTTCTGTCCTGTTTTGAAGATCGTACCAAGTTCCTTTCGGAAAGTATGCGTTTATCGTCGCCTGGTTCTCATGCAACGCAGGGACGACCATCAGAGATTTTCCCCAGAGGAATTGCTCGTCGATGTCGTAGGTCAGAGGATCGTCTGGATATTCGAAGAACAGAGGTCGGGCCACAGTCTCGCCATATAGATGAGCTCTGTAAAAGAGCGAGTACAGATGCGGCAGAAGTTTGTAGCGCCAGTAGAAAGCGTTCTTCGTTACGGTGAGAACCTTCTCGGCCATCGAAGCGGGATCTTGAGCTTTGGCGTCGTTGGCGTTATGGTTCCTCGAAAACGGATAGAATGCCCCGAGCGCTTGCCAACGGGCACAGAGGTCGTCCGTCGCGTCTTTATTGAAGCCGCAGATGTCGACGCCAACCATGGGGATGCCGTAAAAAGAGAATTCGAGGAACCCAGGAACCGAATCCTTCAAATCCGTCCATGTCGAGAAAACGTCGCCAGTCCAGTGGCCGGCGTAGAAGCCGAAACCAGAGAAAGTCGATCGAGAAATTATGAAGGGACGTTTGTTTGGTCGGACCGTTGCCAACGCATTGTACGTTGCGATGGCCTCCGTGAAGCCGTACATGTTGTGCACGTTGTAATGCTCGGACCAGTGATGACGATCGCTCATGCACAATGTCTTCGTTTTGAGCGGCTCATCCCCGGGGGTATAAACGATATCATCGTCATCGGGACATCCCCCGTCGATATGCCCATCGATCAGGTTTGACGGCTCATTCATATCCTGAGGGCGGTTAGGATAATGTTAAGTTGGGCAATCGGAACACAGCTGAGTCGATCGTCTATCTGCTTCAAGCGAGATCAGAGTTTATGATCAGCTAAGGTCGGGAGTCGGGAGGTCTAGGGAAAATGCGTCAAATGGCTCGTGAGCAAATGCGGATATAAACCTACAATCCACGCTCCGTCGATCGCGACCCGCTTGTGGAAATCGCTGATCATCTCGGTCCAGTAAGCCGTCGCGTTGGGATGAGTGAAATCGGGGAAAACGCTGGAGTTCACGTTCCAAACTTTCCCGCCAGCGATCGCACCATGGGCGTCCTTCACAAAAACGTCGTAGTCGACACCACGGTCGTAGGGTGGGTATTGGCCGATCGGCTCGCTCCCACTGACCGCTGGGTCCTATGGCGAGAACCAAACCTGACTGAGTTACCATCTCCATGATCCAGTTGGTTTGATGAGAGTTTCACACATGCTACTAGCTAATAATTTCTCTAACCGATCCCAAGGAATTCTCTGCAATACCACACTATGCCTTCGACGCGGCTTTGACTCACAATTATGAGGACATAGTGGCGGCCATCGTCATGAAGTTCGTCCACAAAGTTTCCGAGATCGTTGTAGTTTACAGGGTCGAGCGTGAAATCATTCCGTTTATCCATGTAGTCGATATCATTCCACTGAACATCCTGTGGAGAGTAGAAAATGTGGTAGATAATAGATTCTCCACAATTCATTTTCCCCCTCAATCGATTCCCATGAGATGCCCGGCTACCCAGGGAACATTCCTTGGTGGAAAAATCTGAATGTCCGGGGACGAATTCGAAACACTTTCCCGAAACTTCAAACTCTCCACCTACAATGCGAACTCCGGCGTCCAGATTCTTCTGCAAGACTTCTCTTGTGTGATTCGTGCTCGTGTAACCGTACCGGCACAGGTGAAAGCCGAGAGACCAATAGGGAATCATTTTCGGGTTGCCAACCATTTGCTGGTACTGTTGAACGACTTTTTCGGGGGTCGGTCCGACGAACACGAAGAAATCCAGAACACCCCCGACAGGTCTGTAGACGATAGCAGGCGTTGGCTGGAGGATGATGTCCATGGCGTTCGAATTGAAGAGCCAGACCCCATTGGCTTTCCCGTCCGGCTCGATGTTTATGTAGAGCGGATGAGTGCCATACAATCGTTTGTCGTAGGCCGGGGATCGATCTTCGTTGTAGAAAGTGAACCTCGAAAAGTTCGTACTCCTCCTTAGAGGACCCTTGTGTTCCCCGAGTCCATATACTACTTGCGACGGTAGCCGACTCGATATTTGTATGAAACGGTCCGTGTAAACCATCGATGCCAAATCGAAGCTCGCGCTGTGGAGAGAGATATCATTCTCAACCCCGAGGAATTTCGAGTCAGAATTCGGTGAATGAATGTATGACGTCATTCCCGAACACGTACATTCTGGTGCCGAGGCCCTCGTCGCCGGAGCGGGTGACTTCTAGTTTTGTCTCCTCGTTGACTTCCACGTTATATTTGTGCTTGTAAACCGAACTCGGTGATGGCGGAGCCGGCAAAGGCGGCTCCCACCTCTGCTTGGCGGGGTCAACGATGCGGATTCTGACAATGTGGTTTGTTTGCGCGATTATATCGATTCGCAGCAATTTTATGTCTTCCGCGATCTTCGACGGATTCACGCGTTCTATGTACGCATTCCGACCTGTTTCCGTGAAGGACTGGTTCACAAGCCTGTAGCCCTGGTAGTTCTTCGGATAATAGCAGTACGGGATCTCCAGGGGTGGGAATCCCGCTCGCTGCGAATCTGAAGAATGAAATAGGATGGAATTATAACTGTCCGTGAATATACACCGTGTATCGATTGTTTTCTCAAATGGACTTATTTAGGCTCAGCGAATTATTCGCGTCACTCACCCTGCGTCTCCTCGGGAACCCTCCAGCAGCAACCTCTCGCGAGACATTTTTGCTCGCTCGACGAATCTTCGGGAAAACAATCGAACCTCTCGAGAGAGCTCGCGAGGTCACATTGAAGCCCTGCTTGGCCAGCCGATGAAGCAAAGCTGAGTCGGGGAAAAATGGGGAGGAGCCTCAATGTTAAAAACGAGGGGTTTCGGGAGTTCTGTAGACCATCCTGGCAGCCTGATGACTCTCGCTCAAGGAAATTCGTTCCGCCGGTCACGGTGCTCGAGAAATCTCGAAGTTTTTGAGAGGATAGGGCTCGGCAGACGTTTAGGAAAAAACTCACCCGAGGGCGAGCAGGATCAGGACTCGCATATCGAAGCTGTTCTCTGCTCTGAATAGTTGCGTGGCTAAATCACTCTCGAAGGGTTTTCTTTGTGGCACAAATCCCTGCACCTTGGAGCAACGGAACGCCTCCGACGACAGTCCTGGAATCCGTTTCTAGGTACCGGGATTAGCCAAAGGCTCACTTCCACTCACCACGATAGGTAATACTTTCGATACACAAGCAACAGGGTGGACGGTCACCTCTTCCTCGGTGTATTTCCACCTCTTCCCCGTGGAGGAATTCACAGCTACGGGAGACTCGTCCAGCACATGGAAGAGATTGTATGAACAGGAGCCCTTCCGCCCGACTCGTTCAAGACAATCTCGCGTGGTCGAAGAGACATTGTTCTTATCGTCGGATTCCAGGCAGCGGATGTGGCTGAAGGAGTGATCGAAGAGATAATGGTCGAAACTCGTTTATTCTCTATTTGGGGTCGATATTTCACCCTCCCTCCAAGTATGCGCACTGGGAGGCTTACGGGAGCGAATCCTCAAGCCAGATGCTCGAGCAACGGAGCAGACCATAATAATATGCTAGTCGCTAACGATTTCGATTCTTAATGAATTCCGGGCATTTTCCTGTATCTCTCATCAAACAGTGTGGGTGTTGAATGACCTGATTAGCCCGTCCCTCAACGAGGAGCATCTGCCTGGACCTATACCCCAATTATCCCGGATTCCGCCTTTTTCAGGATTCCGGATCATTTGACAACGTCTCACAGCTCCAAGGAATCGGGGAACACGAGTTACAATCATACGTTTTTTGTACCTCGAGTTGCTCATAACAGGGCACCGCTGGCTATCGCTCCACCCGGAGTATTTTCCGGCTCTTTGTCTCGTACCGTGAGTCTCCCTCAGTTGTTTTGAGCCCCGAGTTGGAGTTGGAAGAGAAATCGAGCTCCATCAATGTAAAAATAACTGAGCGATTGACGAGATCCTTATTAGCGTGGTGAGTTGCAAGCGGCGTCTCGGATTCTCGCCGAATCTAAACCGACGAATCATACATAAGCAAGACCTAAATAGTTGGGGTAATGATTTCGGTTCATGCTCACGAATAAGTTAGCTCTATGGACACGTCCACCAGTGCATTATCTATATTGTAGATCGAGAGAAGTTGGCGAGACGCATCATATTGGAAATCAGTGTAATTCATGTTTTTGTTCACCACGACTTGAGCCGGTTTCGATTTTATGCCGTAAAAGTGAACTCTGTCCAGCTTGTAATCTAGATCGCCACCTTCAGACTTGCGGACGGTTATCCCTCGCTCGGTCGCGTCCGCTTTGATCAAGTTATATTGGCCGGTTTGTATGGCGTCTATGCTCTCGCCGTCATCGACATACACCTGACCGGAGGCATTACAACCGCGCGCTCCGCTGAGGAAGATGTAGGCCCCGTACGGATTCTGGCGGGAGTCTGTCGTTGTCTCTCCGGGCTCCTGGAAGAATACGACGCTGCCAGCTTTCATGAAGAAATGGATCGTATCGTCGTAGGCAGGCAGATTGACGTGTCTCCCTCCAGCGGTAGCGTCGATTGTTGCCGTTCTGTTCTGGAGATCGAACCAAATCCCCTGAGGAAAATAAGCGTCGATCGTCGTCTGATTCTCGTACAGCGCGGGAACAACCATGAGTGAACTTCCCCAGAGAAATTGTTCATCGTTATCGTAGGTTTCCGGATCTTCGGGATATTCGAAGAACAAGGGTCGAGCAACAGTTTCACCGTTCACATGCGCAATGTGGAATAAGGTGTAGAGAAGAGGTAGGAGTTTGTAGCGCCAGTAATATGCGTTCTTGGTGACGGTGAGAACTTTGTCACCCATGGAGGCGGGATCCTGAGCCTTCATACCGATACTATTATGATTTCTCGAGAACGGGTAGAAGGCCCCGAGCGCCTGCCAGCGAGCGCAAAGCTCAACGTCAGCATTTCCGTTGAAACCGCAGATATCGGCTCCGATCATTGGGATGCCGTAAAAGGAAAATTCGAGGATTCCAGGTATCGAGTCCTTCAAGTCTACCCATGTCGAGAATATGTCGCCGGTCCAATGGCCGGCGTAGAAGCCGTGACCCGAGAAACTCGATCGGGATATGATGAAAGGGCGCTTGTTGGGACGTACGCTCGCCAACGCATTGTATGTTGCGATGGCTTCCGTGAAACCGTACATGTTGTGGACATTGTAGTGCTCAGACCAGTGATGTACATCACTGTTGCACAGCGTTCTGGTTTGCAAGGCTTCGTTTCCCGGGACATATATGATTGCGTCGTCGTCAGGACATCCTTCATCGGGTGAGAGATGTCCATCGACTGTGTTCGAGGGTTCGTTCATGTCCTGAGAATAAATACACGATCGTGACTGAGCCCTCCACATCTGGCTGAAAAAGAGAATGATAGCGCATGGAATACTCACTATCCAAGCTCCATCGAGCTGAACTTGCTTGTACAAATAGCTGAACATTTCGGTCCAGTAGGCGGTCGCGTTTGGATGGGTGAAATCGGGGAACACGCTTGATACGAGATTCCAAACTTTGCCACGTACTACTTCGCCCCCCTTGTTTTTCACAAATACATCTAATTCCAGTCCGCGATCGTAGGGCAGGTATTCATCCGGCTGCTCACCTCCGCTGACGGCTGGATCCTACGGATAGGAGTACAACATGATCCCGTCCGCTCATTCTTTACCGTAGTCGCCCGGAATCATCATTATATGAATCATTGGACACGAACTCGACGGATGAGCCGCGCACGGGCTTAAGATGGAGCAATGCTCCCACCCACCAAAATTAAAACGTAGTGTCTCCCATCGCGGTGGAGTCCGTCCACGAAGCTCTTGAGACCCGTGAAATTCACCGGGTCGATGGTGAAGTCGTTGAAGTGAGACATGTAGTCGATGTCATTCCATTGAACGTCCTGTTAACGAAGAAGAGCGTCCCTCTCAAGGAAATTCTCAGATTTTCCGCGATCGTGCGAGGTCCCCAGGTGATGGATTTCCGAAAAGACCATGCCTATATCGATATATGTATATCCCAGATGATTTATCGGAGCTCCCTGGGAGCTCGATACGTCACGAAACCCTGACGTTCCACCATAGCGGGATTCATACTCACAACTCGGACACCCGCGGCCAAATTTTTCTGCAGAATATCTTCGGTGTGCTTAGTACCGGTGTAGCCCCATCGGCAGAGATGGAAACCGAGAGACCAATAGGGGATCATTTTCGGCTTGCCGACCATCTCCTGATACTGCTGGACAACTTTTGCGGGAGACGGTCCAAGGAAAACGAAGAAATCGAGAATGCCTCCAACAGGTCTGTATGTGATCGCGGGCGTCGGATGAAGAATGATGTCCAGCGCGTTGGAATTCAGAAGCCACATTCCGTTTGCGCGGCCGTCTGGCTCAATGTTGATGTACAAAGGGTGAGTCCCATACAAACGTTTGTCTAGAGTTGGAGATCTATCCTGATTGTAGAACGTGAATTTGGTATAGTTCGTGCTCCTCCTCAAGGGTCCCTTGTGTTCGCCGAGTCCATAGACTACTTGAGACGGGAGCCGGCTCGAGATTTGGATGAACCGGTCGGTGTAGACCATCGTCGCCAAATCAAAGTTCACGCTGGAGGGAAGATTCAATATATCAGGATCGAATAATGATTGAATGGAGGACGAGGGTGATTTCTTCGGGTCCTTGGCATTGAGTCTGTAGTTAAGATTGCGGGAGATACTCTTACGTACATGGTCGTGCCAGCTCCAGATTGCGGGGAGCGAATAATTTTCAGCTTCGTTTGCTCCGTGATTTTCACAACATATCTTGGTGCGAGCACCGTGGATGGGGCAGGTGGAGCTGGGAGCGGAGGTTCCCATCTGTTCTTGATCGGATCCACGATGCGTATCCTAACAATATCGTTCGTCTGCTCTATCACTTCGACTCGCAACACTTCGATATCTTCATCGATTCGGGACTCGGTCACGCGTTTTAGGTAGGCAGCCAGACCGGTCTTCGTTGCGGACACGTTTACGAGCTTATATCCCTCGAAATCCTTCGGGTAAAAACAGTACGGTATGTTCATGGAGCTCGCGCCTTGCAGACCTTATCAAGAGAGTTTCGAGTCAATCCATTGGTCGCTGAATATCGAAATACGGGATAGAGCGATCGATAAAGCGTGAATATTCAGATATAAGCACCCACCGTCGCCAGTTTTGGGGGCACTCCAACAACATCCCCTTGCGACACATTTCTCTTCGCTTGCCGATTCCTCAGGAAAGCAATCGAATCTTGCCGACGAGTCCGTCGCATCGCATTCTGGCCTAGCCTGAGCAACCGATAGAGCCGCGCTGAATAGAAAAGATGAAACGAACTCTCAGAGCATAATCTACGATTTCCCCGTCTTGTGAAGGACTCCCAACCGGGATATCTCCAATTATTCCTCAGGACAACCTATCGCGAGGAAACTGAATGTGCAAGGTGAGGATAATCGAGCGACCTACCCGAGGAGGAACGCATTCAAGGCTCTCATATTGGAGCCGTTGGCTGCCCGTAGAGGTGCTTCCAGCTCACTGTCGGTCGCCGACGCGGGTGCGTCCCTTCTCGGAAAATAATTAGCGAACTGGTGAGAGGGAACGCCTTCTGGCTATATTCCTGTGTCTAATCCCAGGATTCAAAGGGGATGAAGAGGTGATTTAATCGCTCACTGCACCGTAAGACCAAAAAGGAGTCTCTCTCGAGCAGCTGATGAGAGTCGCTATCAAAAACTTTCTGCTCCCGCTGTCGAGTGGTTTCGCTGATCCCTTGTTTCGAGTACTAATAGGAGCCCACGCTGTCCCGATGGGCTAGCTCGTCTAGGCTTGACGAGTCCCATGCATGAACGTCCACGATCAACACAGAGGAACACGCCCTCAAAAATTATCGATAGCTCCGTCGGCGTCGGAGCGTGGCCTTTTTCTACCGCTCCTCCGCTGCCGTGGCGGTATACGAGCACGGATACACTGCGTCGACCGAGAGAGAACCCTCGAGGAGACGTTTTTCGGATTTGGTGCGGAACACTATCTAGCGGACGAATTACGGCGATAAATGCGACTCGCCCTTCCAAAAAAACTCGCGCTTCTGCCAGGCGCGGAAAAGCCATTGACATTGTTGCTTCCTCCGCTCGCTAAAACCCCATCGTGGTCCTTCTTGTAGTCCAGCGCTCCAACATATCGAATCTCTGCTCGAAGAACCGTAACTCAGGGCTTCTAGTACAATCAGAACTATAGATAGATAGATAGTTCCGTCGCCGTCGAGCAAGGAAAGACTCTCGATTAGACACAAGTCTCACCAACCCGCGAAGCTCGATCGATAAAAATCAGTACAGTGGACTTCGCTTAATTGGACACACCGGGACCGAGCCATCTCGGGCCAAGTTGGCGGTTGATCCGACTTACCGGAGTGATTTAGACTAGGAAACCTCATTCGGGGATCCGAGTTCCGGTCTGATTGAGCGGGGGGTCGATTATCCGGTGGTCCCAATAAGCGGAGTACTTTGTAGATACAATAGCTCATACCTCAACCTTGAGATTAGCCCGATCCTGATCAATCGCTGGCGCACTTCGAAACCATGAATGTCCCAGTGTAAGCCCTCAAGAACGCCGGCTCCTCGGACACAAAGAATTTGGTCGCTGGTCAGAGAAATCTATCGTGCTCCCCGTCTTTGAGCTCCAATGTTCAGCTCCGAAGCGGCACCCAGAGAATGGGAAGCGGGAATAATCTTCGCTTCGTGAGTCTCCGTCTGATTTTTCGACCCAAGAAGCGCTATCAAGAATCGTCGCTCGTCTCTCGATAGAACATTGAAGGGAGATCGAGTTGTGTTCGGGAACTCTCTGCCCCTTCGGCCGTTGTGGCAGGGATGGATTTTAGGACCTAGGAGTGTCCAGGAATCGGAATGAAAAAATCGCTTATCCTCGGGAGTTTTTATTTGTATTCCTTATCGGCTCAAGAAGATCGACTACATCTCAGCGCTCTCCATCAACTTTTGCATCGTTAACTGATACCACCCTCCTGTGTAAGAAATCAGTCGGCGCTTTCTTCTCTTCATCATTGGCGCTGGCCACGCCGGTAGTCTCTTCTTGGCTCTCGCGGTTGTCCTGGACAGGGTCGGTGGGCTTTTCTTCGCCGAGGAGCTTAGGTTCAGTCACGACTGGGGCAATTGGCAGGGCTCGGCTGCCATTGACAGATGGGATGATGTCTTCTACGCTGTCCGTGATGTTCGAGAATTCTTCGCCCACACGATGAGCCAGTGTTGGGGCAGCGGAAGGCCTCAATTTAGTCCAAATCCATTTCGCACCCGAGGAGACTATTTCCCAAGTGACTGCCTCAGACGGTGCTGCAAGAGCGAAAACCAAGACTGCCACCGTGATGCAGGAGACCTTCATTTTAGATTCTGATTTCTTGTCGACGCGACTAGAATGATCTGCAAACGATTTATGAGCTGCTGTCGGAAAAGCGAACCGCTTAAATAGGCTCTGAGGACGTGGAGAGTGGCTCCCGCACTCAGCCCCTGATCGACGACACCCCGGGCTCGTGCGCATTGGTGGTGAGGATTTTGTTTTCTCAGACGGGTCGCAGGGGTGGGACCCAAAGAAGATCGGATGAATATCTCAGCTTGAAATCCCGATGTGGGGTCGGTAGTGCAACATTCCGGATCGGATTATCGCCAGGCGTGATATCTGATCATGGCGAAGAAGAGGGAGACCCGGTCGTTTTTTCGACTTCGGCGAGCCGTCGCGGGGGCTGTAAACGGTCCCACTCTTTCGCGAACTCCTCAATTGCTTCCAGAGATGTGTGGCTATCCTTCCATCGAAAGAAGCAAGGGAATTCGAGTACGACCTGAATGATTTGGCAATCCCACTGATTTAGGGTAGTCTTCGGAAGAATGAAGAGATCTCGATTTCCCTCCTGATTGTTGAGCACCTAATGACAGATGGGCACCCTGCGGAAGATTGGCGCTGAATCAGGAGACGAGTATGCAGGAGAGGTATGTCATATTGCTGAGAATAATGAGACGGGGCATCGATTGAAGGAAGAGGATCAGACCAAGGAAGGTCCCCCAGCATGGGATTCGGAACTATTCCATGGGAATCGAGATTGCTCAGTCCACCCTCGGATGGAGGGGGATCTTCCAATAATCAGCAGATGTCTCTCTGATCGGGTCTCCGCATACGGCTGAAATCCAGTATGGCGATTCGCTCCTATACCACAGCATTTCGAAGGGACCATCTGGGAGCCCCCCCTCCTGCGGAGACATGATTTGGACTTTCAAGGTGTTGAGCATCGATTCTTACAACGGAGTACTCCGAAGAGAAGTGAATCGTTCAAAATTGAGATCATCATCCAGTGTGAATTCGAGCCCACATGGAGCCAGCTACGTCATATCAGAGTGTACGATATCTCCCGAGCGATCTGAATCTGAGGAATTGCTTTATTGATAAAATACTTGAAACACATTTTATTCACAACGTCTCAGCGCTGGATCTGCTCTACTGAGGTAGAATCCCGCTAAATACCAACTGTGTGCCCACGCATGCGATAGAATCCGGAGCTTCGACAACTTCTCACGGATAAGTGATGGTGATAGTGATGAATGTCAGCGCAGCGTCCATATTGTAGATCGTGAGTATCTGGCGTGACGCATCGTACTGGAAGTCTGTGAAAGGCTGATAGTTCACCGTCATGCCCGTTGGTTTCGCAGTCACCCCATAGAAGTGAATCCGGTCTAGTTGATTATCGATGGGCTTTCGACTCTCGTTGCCGAGAAGGATCTCTCGGTCGTTCGCGAGTACCGTGATCAAGCTGTTTTCGCGATTTTCGACCGCGTCTATGCTCTCCCCATCGTCTATGTAAAGTTCTCCCATGGCATATGACTCGTGGCTCAAGAAGATGTAGAGTCCATATGGTTTCTCGCGAGAATCCGTGGTAGTGTCCCCAGGCTCTTGGTAGAAGACTGCCCGGCCTCCTCTCATAAAGAAGTTTATGGTATCCTCATAAGCGGGAATAGTGATGTATTTCCCCTGGAGAGGAGCGTCGACGGTGGCGGTTCTGTTTTGAAGGTCGTACCAAATCCCTCGGGGGAAATAAGCGTTGATGGTTTTTTGGTTTTCGTGCAACGCTGGAACTACCATCAGCGAGTCGCCCCAGAGAAATTGCTCATCGATATCATAGGTATTCGAATCTCTAGGATACTCGAAGAAAAGGGGTCGAGCTACAGTGTCGCCGTCTACGTGAGCCCGATAGAACAGCGTATATAGGTGTGGGAGGAGTTTATAGCGCCAGTAGTAGGCGTTCTTGGTGACTGTTACTACTTTTTCGCCGAGTGAAGCGGGGTCCTGAGCAAGGGCGTCGTCAGTATTGTGGTTCCTCGAGAACGGGTAAAAAGCCCCGAGCGCATGCCAACGAGCACACAAGTCGACCGTCGTGTTCCCGTTGAAACCGCAAATGTCGACCCCGACCATCGGAATACCGTAAAAGGAAAATTCTAGGAATCCGGGCACGGAATCTTTCAGATCAGTCCATGTTGAAAAGACGTCCCCAGTCCAATGACCGGCATAGAAGCCGTGACCTGAGAAACTCGATCGCGATATAATGAAAGGTCGTTTGCGCGGACGCGCTGCTGCCAGGGCGTGGTACGTCGCAATGGCTTCTGTGAAGCCGTACATGTTGTGGACATTGTAATGCTCGGACCAGTAATGGCGATCGCTCATGCACAACGTCTTAGTTTTCAGAGGCTCGTCCCCAGGAGTATACACGATCTCAAAATCAGAAGGACATCCTTCATCCATGTGGCCATCGATCATGTTTGAAGGCTCATTCATATCCTTAGGAAAGAAATTTCGAACTTTTTAGAACCAGCCTGTACCCATATGCGCACGTGGGTCTCTCGAGAGAGGTCGAGAGCCACTCGTCAGCAGATTCCTTCCTCGGTATACGAGGTAAACTTTGATCGTCGAGCAAGGGTACAAACCCCATCATTTCTTGCGGACTTCTCTACCTCGCTTCTGGCATTTATTTAATGCTAGAAGAGGTCGATAGAAGCGGGCTTTTGCTAAACATATTACAATGAGACCTCGATCATATTAATCGGTTTTCATCGCCATACCTCGATGTAATCGAGGTTTCACCGTATGAATCTTGTTACTTACTATCCAGGCACCATCAATCGCAACCTCTTCATGGAAATTGCTGATCATTTCGGTCCAGTATGCGGTCGAATTCGGGTGGGTGAAATCTGGGAAGACGCTTGATTTACGGTTCCAAACTTTGCCGCGAACAACCTGACCTTTTGCGTCTTTCACGAAAACGTCATAGTCAAGTCCACGGTCGTATGGCGGGTAAGCTCCCGGTTCCTCGCTCCCGCTGACCGCAGGATCCTTCGGAAAAAAGCATTTCCGAATGAGACAAACGTTCCGGAGCCACGTGGAGTCGGCAAAAACTGGGCTCCCGTATCGGGAGTGGTGAGACTTTACGGAAATTATTTGAGAGAAAATCGATTCGTCGACGCGTCGCGGAGCGTCGGATGGAGCTCGAATCAGACTCACTATGATAAGAACGTAATGCCGTCCGTCCCTGTGGAGCTCGTCCACGAAGCTGCCGAGATCTTTGTAGTGGGTTTTGTCAAGAGTGAAGTCGTTGCGATCCTCCATATAATCGATGTCGTTCCATTGAACATCCTGAAAGAGATCCGATGTGCTCTCAATCCGCACCCCCGGCTCATGCTCTCTGTTTCATCGATTTCCACCTGCATATGAGTTTTCGCTTTGTGCTCAGGATCCATGCTTACGATGCGGACGCCCGCGTCCAGATTACTCCGTAGGATTTGCCGTGTATGATCGACGCCCTTGTAGCCGAAGCGACAGAGGTGGAAGCCGAGAGACCAATAAGGAATCATTTTCGGCTTCCCGATCATCTGCTGGTACTGCTCGACGACATTCGCGGGAGAAGGTCCCACGAACAGGAAGAAGTCTAGAATGCCCCCCACAGGTCGGTACGTGATAGCAGGTGTAGGCTGGAGAATGATGTCCATGGCATTAGAATTGAGGAGCCACATTCCATTCGCCTGACCGTCTGGCTCGATATTGATATAAAACGGATGTGTGCCGTACAACCGAGCATTGTATTCTGGAGCTCGATCCTCGTTGTAAAACGTAAATCTCGAGAAGTTGGTGCTCCTCCTCAGCGAACCCTTGTGCTCGCCCAGTCCGTAAACCACATTGGAAGGCAGTCTGCTCGAGATTTGTAGGAAATGATCGGTGTAAACAAGAGACGCCAAATCCAGATCAATGCTGTAAGAAATCCGGAATGAACAGTGCACATGAGGACGATGTTTGATGCCTCAGAATGATAAGAAAAACATGATCATGGATGCCCTCACGCACAGTTTGTTCCCTCCGTGGTATTCAATGAAGCGAGTCACCTCCAAACGTGTGTCATCTGTGATTCTCACGACATACTTCGGGATGACGTTCTCCTTCGGCGGAGGAGGCGCCGGCAGAGGTGGCTCCCATCTTCGGCTAAGGGGATCGACGAAGCGGATCCGCAGTATTTCATCGCTTTGGTGAATGACCTCGACCCGAATCAAGCTGATGTCTACATCCACGAGGGATGGAAACACGCGCTCAAGGTAGACGACGAGACCTCCTTCTGTAGAGGTTTGATTGAGGACTTTGTATCCCTGGTAGTTCCGGGGATAGTAACAGAAGGGCTCGCTCAACGGGGGAAACTTGACGGCATATGAACCTGGAATCGGAATCATGCACAGGATAAATCAGTTCATGGTCAGTACCTCTGTACATATGCATATGTTCATACGTTCCAGTCCTGCAATAGGCGGGGACCGTCCTCTCAGGTGGCAATGGGCCTCGAAGAATGCTCAGTATCCAATCGAACCGAAACTGTCATCGGCTACTTTACGAGGCTCACCATTGAATTCATTGGTATCTCTCCAGCAGCAGCCCCTCTCGATGCATTCTTCTTCGTTAGATGAATCTTGCGGGAAGCAATCAAATTTTTCAAGCGCGGAAGATAAATCACACTGAGGGTCACCGACTGCCAAGGAGGCGCTGGTGAACGAAGAGAGGATGAATGAAATTCCAGAAACTTATTCAGGAATTCCAGGCTTCACTCAGATTCCGTATCATTTAATTGCCACGATTTGAAACCGAGGGACTTCGAAAGCGGCGAAGTACAAAAAGTGAATTTTAGCAGGTCTTCATGACTGGTGAGCTTCGTCGGACGCACTCACCACAGGGCGACGAAAACCAGAGCTCGCATTCCGGGAGCGGAGCGGTCGCGAGAAGCTGCTAATCTCTGCTTGCTGTGAAGATTCTCACCGTGCGGGCTCTCCTCTAGCACTTGAGTCGAGTAGTGTCGCCCTCTGGTAGTCGTAGCAGCGTCTGGTAAGAGGGAAATTGCCCAAGACGTGAACGTTCGTATTCCCCGGCACGTATTCGCTGAAGAGCGAGGCTCAACGGGATAGAGTCCGTGCAGCGCCGCATACCGGTCTTGGAGAGGATATTGAATCGCTGACTGCGTCAATCGAACGACTACGAGAATAACACAAACCTGGTCTCGTCCCAATCGAAAGTCCTAGGTGCTGGGCCCAGAAATGATAGAGAAGGATGCGTGTAGCAATCCTCGGTATCCTAATGATCTCAATGATCAGGCATTACCATTTTGTTTCACCACTGGGACTTCAACCTCCTCCGAGCAGAATATCGACGAAACCGCCCGTCCACCGAGTGGGTACCCTATCTTTCGCATGTGCTGTATCGACCGCCTGTGATATTACATCAGTGGCACCAACACTCGACTCCCGGTGCCCCCGGTGATGCGCTCCGAATCTTTCCACCGATTCGGAAAGATTCGAGAAGATATTCCCGCAAGATCTCGGGCCTCAAGGCCGCGGGATTCTCCATCTGCTGGCCATCCAACATTGTCACGCTCAATTCGTGGCTTCCGCGATCTCTCACTACAAACGATGGTGTTCTCAGATCAGACAAAGAAGCATTCGCTTCATTCAATCCGGAATCATACATATGGAAATTTTGAAAATCGATCATTTGCAAACTGCTGGCTGTCGCTAATGTTCCATATTTTGCTCCCTCAGGCCCAGGGCTTTCGGAGAGCAGACTATCTTCGTAAACCCGGATTGGAGGAAGCGAACAAGCTAATACTTGTCAGCTCCCTCTTTTCTCGAGCAATACGTTCTACCGGAGCATTGTGAACTTTCTTCAGTGTCAGAGCTCCTGTGTTCGTCAATCTAAGTGCTCTTGGTGGTTGGTATGCAAGGTACCTATCGGAATTTCTGCTATAGCGCGCCTTCATGGGTCAGGTGAGGGAATCGATGCCCCGTCAAAGATAAATTCGGGGGAATATTCATTCTATAGTCAGCTTTCTCAAAATAGGTTCCCGGCACGCTCTGCGCCCCCCTCCCCATATTCGCAGACAATGCGCCGGATACTCGCCTGGGGTGAACATGGGCTCTCAATGCGCGCCGCTTCGGGGAGGAGAGGATGTGCATACTCTGCGGAAGCTCAGAAGTAGGTCTCTACGGTCGAATCTGGGACATGTTCCGGTGATTCGGCGCCATCCAGCTGTTCCTAACAGTCGCAGAGGGAGGTTTCATTCGAGCTCTACCTAGCTTTAATCTCGATGTGAGGGACCTCAATTTCGTGATCCCGAAACGCGTGCTTTATCTTTTGACCAGCCGTGCGGGCGCTTCGCGCCCTTACGGCTGCTCACGCCCGGGTGCCGGCCGCAATATGCCTCCTATCGCATGACTCCCGAATAATGAGGCGTCGAGACCGCGTGTCAATCAAAGAATCGAGGAATGCAAAAGCAGAGACGCAAAGCCGAAGATAGTCGAGCCCTCCGATGAGAGAATACGCGAGTAAGATACTGATTCCCATCGCCGCCCCCCGGGTCCGCACGCACTCCTGAGTCATTAGAGACTCCATATGTGAGATGTCGGCGTATAAGAGACTCATCGCGGATCCCGTCTCCATGAGATCCCGTGTCGAAGGTCTCGCTTCCACGAAACTCAATGCAGCTTTCTCACTTCGGAACGATGTTCCGTGATTTGGCCTCTACGGGGCGTCTCAGGAGAACCGTTCGATGTGTGGGCGAAACTAAGAATGTCGGCATTTCATACAATTTTGAAAATTCAAATTGCGTCTGACCGCGTGTGACAACAACAGAAAGTCGGCTATAAGCTTTGAGGAAGTCTTCGAGTTCTCTGCTCCTCTCCGATTATGTAGAGATCTAACTGCGGAATATTGAGAATGAAGAACAGAAGAATAATGAAACACACTCCACCTGCGCGATGAAGAACTTCGTTGCAGCCCTTGATTGAATTTAGGTTTCAAGCTGAAAGCCGTTGCAGGCTCATGAGTGAAACTGTCGCTTTAAAGCCTGAGAAGAGAGAGGCTGGTCCCTAAGCCCGGGAAGGTCCGAGAGAATTGATAGTAGGAATCAAGATTCATTGATTGATGTCTCATAAGCGCTCAGATCTGATGCTTGATTTTATTGATTGCTCAATGATTAATGAATTGATTGATTTCTTGAGCAAAACTCGAAACAGAGCGCCTCGCACGTGACAGTCAAGGCAGTGAGAATGAGAATCGATTGATTGACGGGAGGCAGTCAATGAGCCAATGCGCAATCGACGCTCTCTAGCGGGACGGACGCTTCACAGCCTGAGTCGAGGCCAAGTAGAGCATGATCGGAAAGCTTTTATCGTCCTTTCTCGAGTGAAACCGTGAAAGACGACGGCCTTTCACGAGTGAGGGCAGGGTAAATATCCAGTTGGGAAGTTATGTCCGGTATCGGGAAACATTTTTGTCCCCCCATGTCGCGCTTTATATTATCTTTTGATGGAGATACCCTATGCTTGAAAGTTCATCGACTCGGCCCATCCATTGCTTGCTTCGCGGGGGTCAGAGATTGGGAACTAGCAGGCTTCGTATCATGGCATGGTATCATGACTCACGTATGACAAAGCTGTCATGAAAGATCATTACTTCCAATCTATCAAAATCAATCCATAGCTGGTACTTCGGACGGCGCATGGACACGACAGCTAACGATGATCTCGAGAAGAATTCCCATGATTCGAAGAAATGCTTCTGATAAGGCATCCGATCTAGGTCGGGAGAGTTCCGTCGAAGGAAGTATTGTCGCGGTGATTGATTGATGACAGTTATCCGTCGCTCCGGCGTCGGCCTTGTTGCCTGTGGTTGGAATGGATCCTATCAATGGAATCTTTGTATATCATGTCACCCTGATTTATTCGAGGATTCAATGAATTTCATCTCGAAAATACGGCAAGAATCTTGGTAGCTTGAGCGTAAATTCAAGAGGAAATGATGAGCTCCAACCCTGAGCTCCTGACGTCGAAGCAAGCCCCGGGTCCTGGAAAGAAGCTCTCGGCAAACCAGATCCGACAGAGAGAAAACAATCGCTCGTTCATCGTAACAATAAATTGGAAATTTATTTAAGTTAAGCTTCGTTGGCAGAAAGCACTTGATCACAGAAACTATGGTTAGGACCACCTTGCATGTGTCTGATGCTCTACAGAGCAGACTTCGATCCTAATGTCCGACTGGGGGCGGAAATTCTTTCGGAATGCCCCCTGGAACTGACTAGACGTTGAGCATTCTCCTCCACTGTGGGCGATCAATTGAAAAGCAAGCCGGGCGTCTAATTATTGAATCAAGGAGGGGGGTTTCGAGGAGACCGGAGCGTAGCTTCTTCTAATCAAGTGTCTGCATACGCTCGGGCAAGGGTTTCGAATTAATCGGCACGTCAAAACCCGGACTGCGGATCTATCAATTCGATAAGGAGACTTTTCGGAAGCAGACAGGGCCACTTAAGATAAACACCAGATGCCGCTGGCGATTTCCCGCGGCCAATAATCGTATATTCTCATGTTTGCCTCTCTACTCTTCCCTTCTCGGAGTGCCTGCAAGGCTTTTCGAAAGATCATTGGGGCACTGAATGGGATGATCCGATATGCAAAAGACTCGCGATGTAGACTCATATTCGCGGACGATAAGATGATACCGTGGTTGACCGGATCTATGCATTGTTTGATTTCTCAGACGGCAGTGGTATGGAGAATCGATCGCGGTGAATGGTTAGCCTAGGCAATCCTTGTACACCAGAGCTGGCTTGTGCCATTCAGCTACTCCGATAGATGATTTGATTGAAATCTTTTGGACGAGAGATCCAAGTCGGAAATCCTACGCAGTCTTTGACGTGGTATCACTTAAAGTAAACAACGTTGCCGAGATCCTTCAGCCGTATCGTAACTCGTCTTTGACACAGCTCTTGAAGGCATCCCAGCCATCCGCAGGTCCCAGATGCGTCTGCAAAGAACACACCGCTCAGACGCTGTCCGATATTTTTGGGGCGGATAGAGTCGATAGCTTCGCCACGAGAACTGTGCACATTGAACAGCTCGATGATGTAAACAATCTTCACCATACACGAGCCAAATCAAAGCAAGTCATTCAAAACGAGAGCGAGGCACCTACCTTGAGACCTCGATACAGTCGATCTCTCATGATCGCGATGAATTCCTTGTAAGATAAATAGCCATCGCCGTCCTCATCGAATATTTGGAAAACCGTATTTACCAGCGCAGCTTCAAGGTTATGTCCTGAGCAAACATAGACAGCTCTCTGAAAGTCCTCTGTAAAAGGAATCGAGTTTTTCGTCAGTGCTTCTCGAGGAACACAGCGGCCATAATTCAGGCACGGGAAGGTCCAGCCTCGAAAAGCAGTGCTCTACTGGTCGCTCCTTTCCGCACAGGAATCCGAATGATCTATATCGAGCGGAAACGCTAAGTATCTTTAGCTGAACCTCCTGAATACCTCGCATGACTCCTCAGCCCATGACCCATGACCAGTGTTCGTTCCCTCAGCTAAAAGAACCAATCCTTATATGACACGGGGAGTCCTTTCGGTGGATATTGGTTTTTTCGAAAATTCCACCGCTGTGTTTACTCGGACCGGCGAATCGAACCGTATCATCACTCAATCAATCAAGGATACGACTCGTCGGACCGAGCACTTCGCCAACCCGACAAATGATGGGAACTCGTTATCTGAGCGATGTGTGCGGGCCGACACAAAGCCTATGAATACCGAAAATTCGTAGAAAGCTTCGAGCTTTCGAAAAGTTTGCGAAATATGTTGACGGACGGAAGTGATCTCCTCAAGCGGCTGGAATAATTCGACTCACACTCAAGGCCAAACTCGTTTACTGAGAGCTCATCGAACCCCTCCTTAGAACTCCGGGGAAGATAATTGATCGATATACTCTCGCCTCCGCATTCTCGCTGCCGTTGCCGACCGAGTATATCAAGATCATGCTTCACCTCGGCACGTCTGTCGCCAGCCGGGAAAAACAGATCCGATTATGTGTACATACACCTGTTGCTCCATTGTATCCATCATCGTTCTACCATTCGATCAGAAAAGCTCACGGCATCGGCGAGAGCCGTACCAGTATGAGAGGAGTGCATTCAAGGAGAAGTGGCAACTTTTTACAATCCGTACAGGATCTGTTGTACACAGCAGATTTCACTGACTGGAAGACCGGGGGAACGAATGAATGAAATAGCGGTTTGTGAATGGAACTTTGCGCAATACAATCTTCAGACGGGCACCGCAGCTCCGGCAGAAGCAGCGCAGGGGTCAAAACTGACGTTCCGAAGAACAGATGGATGGACGCCCGCCCGGTCGGCTGCTCGGATGGTCGGTCGGATAGACAGACTTACGGACGAATACACGGACGGAAGGACGCGTCCGCCATATTCTACGGCATGTATTGGCTAGGAAGTCTCGTCATACATTCGATGAACGAGCGTGCTGTTCGCCAGAGTGTTGGTCCGATGTTGTTTGACGACACCGTTGCTGAATCGTTGCGTCATCAGAAACAGAAAATGGGTCGACGGACAAACCGACGGCGCAGCTCGATGGAATGCCCCTTGCAACAACGTCCGGTGCACGAGCAGTGGTCGGTGTCATCTTTTTTCCTTCACATGTCTTTTTTTTGCTACGTATTAATAGCCGGATGATCACCCTGCCATGCATGAGCCGCGATCGATCGTTCGCCCGCTTGCTTGCTTGCTTGCTCGGATGGTCGATCGGACACTTGTACAAATTGCGAATCGTGTCAAGGGTATACAGGATCCACTATGGAGCTATGGGGCGACGGACAAAGACGGGACTGACCCGTGATCCCACCCCTCGGAGCGTCGCGAGCCGAACTCTATGAGCGGACCCGTCAGTAGCGGGGCGAAAGTCGGCACACATTCATCAATCGATGTCAAAACACGAGCAGTTCTGTCGAGTGGCATTCTTCCGATAAAAAAGTCGTTCTTCAAATCGTCGAACATGACTTCCTCTTGCTAGGATAGATCCTACCGGGAAAATGATTACTTAACGCCCTCAAGGGAGCAAAGCGGACTTGACCGATGAGTAACGAGTAACAAATCGATTCGTCAGTTCGTGCGAGTCGACCCCGGGCACGAGTCGAACGGTCTTCGATAAGACACGATCCAGTGCATACGTCGCTGTTCTTCAAACGGACAGAGACGTAGAAGTTCAAAATGGAGAGGAAACCGCGTTTCGCATCAATCCCACTGGGTGGAATCTATTAGGTGTCAAGCTGTCGTATGAAAATGTGGCAAGAGACTCCTGAATGATTATTATCCCGTCCGACCGGATCTACAAAATCTTCGAGGGCTGATCCTATCGCGGAAGGTGTGGTAAGTTTGGTAAGTTTCCCCCATTTGTTGCCCTCTTTCCCAAACGTCGAAAAAGTAAATCGCACTCACCCTGGGAGATAGGCTGGTTAGCAAAAGTGAACATCCTCATCGTGATCGCAAAATCGTCAAGGTTATTCAGAAATTGACAGAATGCTTTGAACTGCTCAAAACTGATCCCTTTCTGTTCTGGAATCCGTTCCCGTAGCCGTTGGAGAACGGCGTCGTAACCCGCCGCATCCAGATACGTGTATCTGCAAGCATGTAATAATGAATGAATTATGCAGATCAATTCGACACGTGAACCTCGTGAGCTCAAGTTTTCACGTCACAAGCGGCAATGAGGTGAAGAGTGACAATGGTCAAGGTTGCTTCTGCTTTAAGATGGGAAAAGGTCTGTGACGATGTGAGCTAAGCGAGAATGAGCTCGAGGGTCTCGAGTACCCATCCGATCGTAGATTGAATAGCGAATGGCATATTCTACTCCTTGCCACTCGGCAAGAGGGATTCTCCGAGACCGAAACCCGTACGGACCTCTCGAGACAACCATCAATTGCAATCGTGCGAAATTGTCGATATAGCGTACCTCAGGAGTATGCGAGCGAAATCAACTTCGCTGATCACAGCTTTCCCTTTGGAGAACTCTATAAATTCTAGCTCCAGCACTTCGGACTGCAGGTTTTCCATGAACCTGAAAGTCGTGGATATACTCATTCCTCAATCCAAATACTCCGACTGTGCGCATGAGACAAAGAGTCAGAGATACAATCTCGTCCGATCATGAGTTGAATGAAATTTTCTGCGATTGTCTCACCTGAAGAAGTCGTCGAAGGAGAGCGTGTCTTTGCCTTTTTTACCGAACAGATGAACCAGCAGGGTTGTATTCACATAGTGAGCGGATAGGTCGTTCTGAAAAATGACTTTCTCAGCGTTTGAGAATAGACAGCAGCAGCTATCGCAGAAACAATACCATGTGTCACGGCCGGTCAGCGAGAAGAAAAAACATTGCTGGTAATGCCTTCGACACATGAAATTATCGAAACTCCAGCAACGTCACAAAAATGTGCTCCTGTGATCTGAAGGAAATGATTTCAAAACGAACGACGACAAAAATAGTGCTTTCTGGCAGTCTGTGGTAGGTCATCCGAGTCGTATTTTGTCGCCCGCGGAAATGACAGATACGGTGCCGACAACAAGCTTCGACGAAATCGGGGGAGCATCTCGTCACCGTACTGGGATTCCTCACGGAGGGATCCGGAATTCGTGCGACTGGTTGGTGATCCGAGAGCGCGATTCGTTGGATTCTCCCTGAGGAAGTATCCGACCGCTGCGCCCAGAGCGAATCCGTGATTACCGATGTCGCGGAGATCACGGGAGCAAAATCTTCTCCAGGAGATACGGTCGAACCACCGAACCGAACACTTGTACCTCAAGAATATATCGAGCTTCTCAGGGTATATGAGGGAGGTTTCAGTCGACACATACATGTAAGAGCGCCGAGCTTATAAAAAAGTAATGATTTCAAGCGTAGATCGAATCAGGCATGCGTACGATCCCATTCAGGACAGGGCCAAGCTGTTGTCAATGAAATCACAAACCCTGACTAGCGTGCTGAAGTGGCTGCTCGACGAGACTTTCGACTACTGCCTCTAAAAACAATCCGATGTGGGACGACTCGATTGCATTGCTCAATAAAATACGCGCGGAAGTCCGTGAATCGGTAAGAGCCTTCCCTCTCAGAGAGGAAAGAGGCTGTGGTTTTCACAAGAGCAGGAAGGTGAAATCGTGCATGACTTTCGAGTGGGTTCTCCATAGGGAAGGGTTCTTACGTTTTCTGTGAAAATCCGCTACGGGGTGCAGAGAATGGGAACTGATTAGTTAGAACTGATTCTTCAAGTTTTCGAGACGGCTATCCGACTGGCTTTGCGACTTGCGATGACCGATGAGATTACACAAGGATTTCGTTAATGAGGAGCATCGCGTTCAGAGCTTAAGTATGGATGATTGCTACGACGTGTGTTCCGGTCTAAGTATCGTACATTGTTCTATAAGACCCATAGGGGGTCCTCTACCATTGGGTGATGCGAGGGTCCAGCTCGGGGATTCCGGGGTTCCAATCATGGAGAGTTTCCGGCCATATCATAAATGCGGGTTCCACGGACCTACCATGTGTTATCGATTGAATCGAGGGACTCACCAGATCGGTCTCCTGTACAGATTTGATGTTTTTCCCCCGACGAGCCACAGTACTAAAAATTCTCTCGAGCTGCAAAGAGAGATGTTTTCATTGAAATGGCGGTCTCTCATCGCATAATCGAATTGGATCCACGGCAGCACCTAGATTCATCTGACAAACACGAAGCCCTCCCTCCGATCTAGTTGCAGGGGCCTTGTCGGAATCGGAGCGGAACTGGGACGAAGCGGTCGGACCGATCGTCGATTTGGAAGGAGAGCGCGATCTCGGTTACGATGTCCACAGTGTGATTCTCGGTATTACTTGAGAAGGAACCGATGACGTCCTCTTCGCTATCGGTGACCTTGATGTATGACCTGACGGCCCCTCATGAGCTGTCAGCAAACATACGACTGACGTAAGCTGTGACATCCCTCGATATTGCGGCCTCGTAGCGGTTAAAATGGACGTGACTATTTTTAGAAAGGAGGGTTCAAAAGGCCCATCCTACCCCCTCCCAGGTGTTGCCGACCGCGGCTCCCGTTGTTGCTAGTTACTTTGCATTGGACAGATTCTTCTCGCGTTGCTGTTGTTGTTGTCGCCTCAGTGGTGGATGATGTGTGATGGTACTTGTTGGGCAAGAGGGAGAGCTCTCGACCGTGGGCGGTGGAGGGCTGTCCAGTATATAGCCAATGTCAAAAAGTACTCCGCACCAGTGCGACTGGACGCAAACACCCAACCCTTCCCGCTAACAAACGAACGTGCCACTCAGTCAACCGAGAAGGCGACAAAGCTCCCGACCGAACGAGCCGGACAGACCATCACGATGCGTCTCGCGTGTAGTTTTCTTCTCGTAGCGATAGCGATGTACCTCTTTGCCGAGGTCGCCGCTGACAAGCACGAGATCATCAAGAAGATCGTCCTCAAGAAAGCTTTCAAGGCTTTGAAAAAAGCCCCAAAGCTCATCCCGTTCGTTATTCCTCTACCTATTATCAAACACCAACCGAAGCATCAAGAAGTGTGGAAGGTGCAGGAAGTTCACGGAGGGGGATGGCAACAGAACAACGGATGGCAAATGAACGGCTGGGACTAGTGCTCGAAGCATGCTGATATCCGCTGTGAATCATGAATCCTTAAATCGAGTCGTTTGCCGATCATCACACCACCCATCATCGAATCGGTCATCTGTACATTATTTCGTGCATTCGTTGCAAGCTGCGCTCCATTGGATAACTCGTCGTTGTCTGTTGTGGTCGTCCTCGTGTATATAGAGTTTCGAGTGTGTAATCGTCAATCATGTGCTCGGGCGACCTGATTTATTGGATCAATTCTCCGATTCGTCGAGAAGTGACACAGACCTCCAAGCGGTTGATGAATTCGTCGATCGACCGGTCCATTCACATTTCGATCAATCGGGGGAATCGTGTCGAGTGCCGTGCATTCGTGTCCCGTGTTTTCGAAACACAATCGTCCCCAGAAGTCTGTGATATTGTTATTCATTGCCTCGCTTTCCTTCTCGTCGACGGAGAGATGAGCCATGGATTGTTCGTGTACTTGTCGCTTGTGTCATTGATAATATTTAAAACGAAAAATAGGTTCCATGTGTAATTTCGGGAAATTACTGAGAGTACCGCTGGGCGCTCAAACTTTGTTTGTGTACAAATTGTTGAATCGAGTGCCAAATAAAATCTGTGCTGCCGAGTTTGGCACTCGATGCTGCTCTTTTCTCTTCCCGGACGCCGTCAATCCGACCGCGGATACCTCGTGGAATGTTCTTTTTCTCCAGTAGGAACAGACTTGTGATGGTCAAAACCTGCATTGCAGCTCGATCATGTGAGAGATCTCCCAGGCCCTAAGGCGCGGAGAGAGTTGGAGTTTTCAACGAATTCTCGGACTTGCCCCTACCCTAAGGAGTTCAAGGTCGCCCTTGGTGGACTGGCACCGGCAGAAGTTTTATGCCGGTGCCAGTATATATAGTAGATATAGTCGGACTCGATGAGAGCTTCATCCTAATTAGGTAGATTGATTGTTCTCAGCAGTCCCGCTTTGAACCAGAAATTTCAACACCCATCACGCTAATAAGTTCTCGCGCAGATCAAATTAAGCGCTATCGGCGATTATCGTGAGAACGCGGGAATCGATTACGAGCGGCGAGGAGCATTCAACAGCGACCGGGCCCAAGCCGGTCGGTCAAACAATTTTGATGAAAATGCCGTTATCGGGAAAATCGGCGTGATTCATAGAAACTTTCCTTCCCGGCGACGTTTAGACGGAACACGAGGTCAATGGGTTCTTCTCCCGTTACGTAACATAGTGACGTTCGCCATCGTTGCCGCTGCAAACATCACCGTCGTCTTTCACAATGGATTTTGTCTTATTCAGTGGATCCGCTAAGATAACGCACAGAGGTTGGACAGTGAAAGTAATGTTCAAAGCAATTCGATATATGCTATAGTTTATGTCTGCTCTCTCCGCCGCCACATCAGATGAGGGCGCTGCCTCCCACGTAGCTTACAAGCTGTGCCCATTCTGTTGCCAAAACTTCAACTCATGTAATGACGAATCACACCCATTGAAACTGTTATTAAGAATGACTTTCATCGGCGACTTCAGTCGCGAAAATACCAGGATTCACGCTGAGACGTGCCTTCCGTCGTTTTACCGATCGCTCTGCTAAAAGCTGCTCCACGTTCCTTCAGATCCAAAAAGATCGTATCAATTACAGGATGAGTTCGACATAATCCTGAAGTGATGATCGGTGAGCAGAGTGAGTGGGGGCTGGAGGAAAGTCTTATTCGCTCATGGCTGGCTTGTGGTCTCAAAGCTCGAATGAAAGACTGGATGCATCATGCATGGTGTGCTGACCTTCTCGCTATGATTTCATCCCTATTCTCACCAGAGACTCTCAGAGCTGGGGCGACGACTCAGCACGTCGGTTTCTTCATGCGGCACTAGTTCTTGCCACTAATTATTTCCTGGTTTCGAGGAGGCGCTCACCGACCGAGACTGGCCGCGCACTCGGTTGAAGTTTTGCGAGAAAGAGACACCGTCGAATGCACTTCCAATACATCCCTCTCGTGCATAAGCATACCCTCAATTGCACCCTGGGTAGATACCTGATTCTAGTCGCCCTGGAGCATTCCTATCGATTGTTAGCTCTCCGATTCGGCCGTTGCGATCAGCATTCTGGGCTCGCTTTCGGTAGCTTAGGCTCAATCGACTCCAACTAACGGTACCTACAGAGGGCGCACGCCCAGCCGAATACCCTGCAGGCTGCGTTATCGCCGAGCGGGCGCCTCCCTCACGGAAATCTCTACACTCGCGAGCAAAATACCGAGCTGTCAAGAGAGACGCTAAACCCCGCAGACGCTAGACCATAGTCCCAAGCTAAGTGGACTGGTCCATGAGGAGCTTCGTGCTTCCCTATGCTTCCCGAGCTCGCGTTTTCGATTGCGCGCAAACCGTATCATATCAAAGACTCCGCGTGGTGTGTCGGCCGTCATCGAGGGAACAATTTCCCGATTATGACATGACGACCGGGCGCTTCCCTCTCACAAGTCTCCTTCGACGGATTCTTCTGAGCGCAGTGCTGCCGATGTTCGGTTCAGGGGCTAAGGAGCCCTTATCGCTCGCTTCGTCCGATAGAAGGTTTCGCCGCGACGTCCTCGTATGTCGGAAACTAATCCTCCGTATTATTCTGTGCGATATGGCGTCCAATCAGGATGATCCTGCTCACCGCCCCTTGGAAGCTCAGGGGCGGATCGCATGCAGCATTCCGGACAAAAGAGGATCCCCAGGTTTGCCTGAGCTGTTGGTGCAAGACGAAATGGCGGGAGGAAGTCCTTTTCCGTAAGTAACTCCCAATCGATGAGAGAAGGTCTGGTCGCTGTGGAGAGGCAGAGGGATCTGTATGTGTGAAATATACACGGATGGAATAATGTGAATTCTGTTGATCATTTCGTATCCGGGCTGGATGTCTCGAGGTGGAGTCGGGCCCCGGAAAAAAATCGTTGTTTCTTCGTATCGGTCACCAGCGTTCCTCGAAAGCGCGGGGGTGGGGTGGCTCATCGTCAAGCTCCGCTGTTGCATACTCGCAGTCTATCGGGGAGGATTGAAAGTGCTGAATGACCCCAGCCGATCCGCTCTGTTGCGTATCTCGCGTCGCGCGTGCTCAAAAATCTTCCTCCATTTTTCATTCCGTCTTTACCTTCCCGGTCGCTTCCACGAACAATATTATAGCGGGATTGATGAGAATAAAGGCGCGTTACTCTTAACCGATGTGGAAGGTCAATGTTGTATTCGGATAATTCAGTCTTCCCCGAGCGAACATCAAGTCGACCATAGGCGCTGACTGGAGGATCTCGTTACTTTTTTCGGACGGTCTGTGTTTTGCTCACGATGCGATTAGCGTCGACGTTTTTGGGCATGAACACGAGCACCTCTGGTTATTTTCTATTACTCCATCCTTATCTTCTTCAATCCCGATTCACGCTTTCCGACCTTGAGAACTGTCTGGCCTTGACCTCGTCGACTTCAGGCTTGGAGCGAAGCTGACAGAGTGATTCGGTCTCACGATTGCATAAGTTCTTCGTCCTCTGTCAGATACACGAACTAACGAATTAAACGGAGTGAATACTGGCTGCGATACTCGTGGATCCGTTGAGCAACCCACCTCGGATCACTCTCATCTATCTCACACCTCGTCACACTATAAGCTTTCCGAAGCTGTTGATCCGACGACTTTGATTTTTCAAAGGAGGACAAAAAGCAATACGAACTGCGTCGCCTCTCAAGATAATATGGAGTTGGAGAGTTCGCTCCTCCTCTTCTCGAATCTCGGACCACTTCTGAATTACGATGAAAAACTTTGCATATCATTGTATCATTGAAGTTCTAATCTGGAGAACAATCTGGAGCCTCAAAATCGGATGAGGCTGAACGTTTTCAAATCGGGAATATTCGGGCATGTTCCCGAGCCGCTTATTCAGCGGTCGACCGAAGAACTCCAAAGATCATCCTGATCTGTGTCAGTTTCCATATCGCTTCCACTTCAGCTTGATGGCTCCGCTTTTTGACGGTTGCGCTTATCCCAC